CTAAGACAGACTATGTTCTGTTTCAACGTCGCTTCGCATGAAATGGCTTTGTTGCTTTGGTTGCAAAGACATTTCCTCTTCTAGAATCTAAGGGTTCCGATGTCATTTTGAAAATCAATTTCAGGTCCTTGGAGTATATTTGTGGTTTAGAATCAAACAGTAAAATATTTACAGTTAGTCTTAACGGCTTTTTACATTTAAAGGTTTGTGTTTTTATTTCAACGTACTCTCATGATGAACGAAGAATGACTATTCATTTTTACGTTTTTCCGTTCAGGAACATTCAAGTATTACCCTTTACAATACCGTACACGTTCCGAAATTAATTGTGACCCTTATAAATATCTTAATTAATATTTAATATAAACCAGATTTGCTGTTTATCTATAATGTATTATATTTGGCCTTTAATTGCATTCATTGGGTGTTCAGTTTCTATTATATCATCACGATTGGTGGGGACCTGATACTGAAATTTTACCACTTATTTTATGTAAAGAAGGACAATATACATATAGCTTTTTACCTCTTACTTTATGATATTTCTGAAAGGACAATATACGCCAGTTTTACCACTTATTTTATGTACAGAAGGACAATATACATATAGCTTTTTACCTCTTACTTTATGATATTTCTGAAAGGACAATATACGCCAGTTTTACCACTTATTTTATGTACAGAAGGACAATATACATATAGCTTTTTACCTCTTACTTTATGATATTTCTAAAAGGACAATATACGCCAGTTTTACCACTTATTTTATGTACAGAAGGACAATATACATATAGCTTTTTACCTCTTACTTTATGATATTTCTGAAAGGACAATATACGCCAGTTTTACCACTTATTTTATGTACAGAAGGACAATATACATATAGCTTTTTACCTCTTACTTTATGATATTTCTGAAAGGACAATATACGCCAGTTTTACCACTTATTTTATGTACAGAAGGACAATATACATATAGCTTTTTACCTCTTACTTTATGATATTTCTGAAAGGACAATATACGCCAGTTTTACCACTTATTTTATGTACAGAAGGACAATATACATATAGCTTTTTACCTCTTACTTTATGATATTTCTGAAAGGACAATATACGCCAGTTTTACCACTTATTTTATGTACAGAAGGACAATATACATATAGCTTTTTACCTCTTACTTTATGATATTTCTGAAAGGACAATATACGCCAGTTTTACCACTTATTTTATGTACAGAAGGACAATATACATATAGCTTTTTACCTCTTACTTTATGATATTTCTGAAAGGACAATATACGCCAGTTTTACCACTTATTTTATGTACAGAAGGACAATATACATATAGCTTTTTACCTCTTACTTTATGATATTTCTGAAAGGACAATATACGCCAGTTTTACCATTTATTTTATGTACAGAAGGACAATATACATATAGCTTTTTACCTCTTACTTTATGATATTTCTGAAAGGACAATATACGCCAGTTTTACCACTTATTTTATGTTCAGAAAGGACAATATGCATAGGGTTTTTACTACTTATGTTATGTTGTTTCAGAAAAGATGTCAGTTTTTACCACTTTTTTAATGTTATTATATACAATACAATATACGTCAGTTTTTACCACTTATTTTACCACTAATTCTATGTTTTTACCACTTATTAAATGCTATTTCAGAACGGAAATAAACGTTAGTTTTTACCACTTACTTCACAGTTTATTTTATGTTCTTTCAGAAAGGACAGTATACGTCAGTGTATGTAGATAATTCTTCAGGGATGATGGTCAAATTACAGCTTGGGTCAGATTTCTCAGGAATATTGTTTGGTGTGTGAGAAACGTAGATGAAAATGACAGATTACGATGTGCCAAATTATTTATGAAATCAAGGAGAAGGCGCCGCAATGCAAAATTTTAAAAAACGCAACACAACGTGGAAAAGTGTATGGCGTATATGTTGTATTCAAAGGTCACGTGAAACGAATAATTAAAAACACGCCAAATAAAGTGAAAATGATTAAGTTTGTCAGAAATCATTCAGTTGGAAGTTAACAGAAAAAAAATAAGCGAATTTCTATCACTTCAATTAATCAACAAGAAAAAAAGATGCCAATTTCCAGCAATTTCTAAGATTTCCTGATAATTACGTGGTGCTATGAAAAGACTGTGGAATTATCGAAGACGCAGTTTCCAGTTTCATGGTTGATAGAATTCATTGAAAATATCTAATCATCAATATTTCTGGCGCCACAAGTCTGCTGAGATTTTATCAGGCTGAAAATATCCTTTTATAGAAACTAAACCGCAAGTAGAATATTAGCAACTACAACCTGATAATAATCACGACTTGAAGCAAACAACTTTAATGTTATTAGTCAAAGATACAATTATCAGATGATCAGTTTTTACCATGAACGGCAATTCATCCAAAATATTTAAATAAATAAATGGTGTATTTGTTCAGATTTTTAGTAAATTTGTCATCGATGGAAATTTTATTATATTGTATATAAGTTTAAGACCTTCATTTTAAAATGCCACGAGGTCTCTGAATATAAATAACGGGATTGGAATATTTCATTAAACCTTTTGTCACAGAAACTGTGTAAGTATTTGGCATTTTATTAATAATTCGAAGCTTATGACTGTATAACCCATGTGAAATTAGCTGCCACCCGATTCCCCTCCCACACCCCTTCCTCATAGAAACGCTACTGCTGGAATTAGATTTTAATCGTGTTTTATCTCAATGTCTGTAATTACAAAACTTTGTATATGAAGCAATATAGTTTATGTATTTATATAAATCATTGTAGTCTGTAGTTTTAATTCCGGCACTAATTGTTGCCCTCGTCAGTACACAAATTTTTGACAATTTAAGAAATATATTGGTTAAATAATATGAATGTAAACATAACATGTATCGATTTATTGAATTGATGTAGTCTTGAGTCCAAATAAATCTCGATAATCGCCCTTGGTTCACTATACATAGGTCTTATTTCAGCCAAAAAATTGACAAATATCACATTTGGCTCTCTATACTCCGCGTTTCTTCCGAAAAACAGTTTCCTTTTATCTATTCAAATATAGTTGCAGGTTGTTTGACTCGTACTCGTTCTGTTTGACTGATTTTACGAGTTATTGTCTTGGATTTAGTATCCGTGTTCAAATATGTTGTATTGACAGGCGTTAGATCTTCAGATTGTATACTATATGTTCCTGAAACTAAAAAACAAAAGTCAAAATTAATCAATAAGGAAAAATAGTAACGAAATCATTGAAATTTTTCATTTTTTCCTGTAATGTACCAAACGGAAGTTATCCATTCTGTATGCATAAACCAATGGTAGACATAGAAGCTTTTTTTTTGTCTATATCATGTATTACCACACTTGTTATTAAATCTTTATATGCTATAGCTGTAGCTGTGGGATGGTTGTGTGATCATTGGAATTTTATCTTTAATACTAGTCATGATGAATGAAACGATGGTCGGACATTCTGTATGCATAATCATAGGTAAACGCAGAAGCTTGTTTGTCTGCGCTGACAAGACATTATCACATTGTCTTGAAAAATGACAAATTTTAATGGAAAAGAGATTTTCTAATTTGATGACGTTAGTAATCGCGAATGGCCTTATGAGACAATACAGATGTGGCGATACATTACCTCTTTACAATCCCTTTAAGTATGGTATCGCTGTCTACATTAGTTGTATGATAAAAATCGTAATAGAATTGTCAGAGTATTATACTTACTGATACTGGTTCGTCTTACATTACGATCTTGTTTCACCTGTGGAGAAACGGTAGCAGATTTTTTCTTGCAAGTTACACACAAAGACATAAAGAAAATAGTAACTACCAAACTGGCTATCACTGGTAACATCACTGGTAACACCAAAGTTGATGGCAGGGCCCTATAAAATATGAGAAAATCTTACAGAACTTCATTTATGATGATGAGGGGTTAAAAGAAAATATCGTTCATTGGTATCTACTTGATAGTTGGACATTCCGTCATTGAAGACCTCCACATATTACCGTATCAAAACCTCATAATAAAATAGTCTTTCTTATCAGAAAAAGAATGTTGAGTAATGTGAATCAAATGAATTTTCTTATTTGATCGAACGACCAAATTTAACAAAATGTTATACTTAAAGTAAAGAAAATTTGAAGTAATTACCCTGATAGTTCAAGAGGTTTAGCCATCAATACATCTGGAAAGAAAATCGAAAATAGATAATTATAAGACAATTTATTATTAAATCCAAAAAATGTAACATTCAACCAGTAAAGAGTAGCGGATACTTATTTCCAGTACTACAATTTACATTATACATCTATGATATTTTGCTTGACTTCAAGTTAACAAGAGATTTGGAAAAATTCTTTGTAAGATATTTCAACGATCTCTATGTAAATAAAGTACATGTACTTTAAGAAAGAAAAGTAAAGTTCAAGTTTAAATAAAATAAAAGTATACCCTACCTACAAGACCAGTCAACAGAAAATATAAAAAACACCACATTTTATATCTTGAAATTCCTTTTACAAATTCAATCAAAATTCACTAAATCTTGTTATGTATCATTATGATATCATATTTCCTATACCACTTCATATAATCACTGTAAAAATTAGACTATAGTAAATCGTGTCCACAAATTGTTGTATAATCGCTAGATTGAAGTTCATAAATAGTTGTACATAGTAAATATGTTGTTAAATTATTGACGCTGTCAAAAACTATTATTGAATCTTCCATTGTCCGGCGTATTAATAGTTTCTCTTTTGTCAATCAGACATACATACATTTTATTAGCCTATATACAACTTTTATATATAGCCGACAAATACATGTACATCAATCAATGCCCTTTATAAAACCTTTCGTCATACAGCTCTCTATCTTGGGTAACCTTCTATCATTGTTGGGAAAAACTTCCAGTCAAGTCTATTCGTTACAAAGTTACAAAGCTGCGAGACACGTCCTTGTATTTGTGCAAATGCAAATCTATACAGTGCAAGGGGAATTCATTCTTATAAAATGGAAACAAGGGCTAAGCCTAGGAATATCGATGCACAATCCCGTTCGGTGTATTGCTCTTCTGCACTTGGTCATCCGACAACGCTGTAAAAGTTCCCTTAAATAGGGAAGCTACGTTCCTGCACACCAGATTAAGATGACAAATGGAATAATAATATGACAACAGAAGCGTTGATAGGATAGTAATTTCGCATAGTGACAGGAAATTGTCTCTGTGTGTATTGTGTATAGTTTGTAACTAGGAAGTTGTCTCTGTGTGTATTGTGTATAGTAAGTAACTAGGAAGTTGTCTCTGTGTATATTGTGTATAGTTTGTAACTAGTTGTCTCTGTGTGTATTATGTATAGTAAGTAACTTGGAAGTTGTCTCTGTGTATATTGTGTATAGTAAGTAACTAGGAAGTTGTCTCTGTGTATATTGTGTATAGTAAGTAACTAGGAAGTTCTCTCTGTGTATATTGTGTATATTAAGTAACTAGGAAGTTGTCTCTGTGTGTATTATGTATAGTAAGTAACTTGGAAGTTGTCTCTGTGTATATTGTGTATAGTAAGTAACTAGGAAGTTGTCTCTGTGTGTATTATGTATAGTAAGTAACTAGGAAGTTGTCTCTGTGTGTATTGTGTATAGTAAGTAACTAGGAAGTTGTCGCTATGTATCTTGTGTATAGTTAGTAACTAGGAAGTTGTCTTCTTGTGTATTGTGTATAGTTTGTAACTAGGAAGTTCTCTCTGTGTGAATTGTGTATAGTAAGTAACTAGGAAGTTGTCTCTGTGTATATTGTGTATAGTTTGTAACTAGGAAGTTGTCTCTGTGCGTATCGTGTATAGTAAGTAACTAGGAAGTTGTCTCTGTGTGTATTCTGTAGAGTAAGTAACTAAGAAGTTGTCTCTGTGTATATTGTGTATAGAAAGTAACTAGGAAGTTGTCGCTATGTATATTGTGTATAGTAAGTAACTAGGAAGTTGTCGCTATGTATCTTGTGTATAGTTAGTAACTAGGAAGTTGTCTCTGTGTGTATTGTGTATAGTAAGTAACTAGGAAGTTGTCTCTGTGTGTATTGTGTATAGTAAATAACTAGGAAGTTGTCTCTGTGTGTATTGTGTATAGTAAATAACTAGGAAGTTGTCTCTGTGTGTATTGTGTATAGTAAATAACTAGGAAGTTGTCTCTGTGTGTATTGTGTATAGTTAGTAACTAGGAAGTTGTCTCTGTGTGTATTGTGTATAGTAAGTAACTAGGAAGTTGTCTCTGTGTGTATTGTGTATAGTAAGTAACTATGAAGTTGTCTCTGTGTGTATTATGTATAGTAAATAACTAGGAAATTGTCTCTGTGTGTATTGTGTATAGTTTGTAACTAGGAAGTTGTCTCTGTGTGTATTGTGTATAGTTTGTAACTAGGAAGTTGTCTCTGTGTGTATTGTGTATAGTTTGTAACTAGGAAGTTGTCTCTGTGTGTATTATGTATAGTAAGTAACTAGGAAGTTGTCTCTGTGTGTATTATGTATAGTAAGTAACTAGGAAGTTGTCTCTGTGTGTATTGTGTATAGTTTGTAACTAGGAAGTTGTCTCTGTGTATATTGTGTATAGTTTGTAACTAGTTGTCTCTGTGTGTATTGTGTATAGTTTGTAACTAGGAAGTTGTCTCTGTGTGTATTGTGTATAGTAAGTAACTAAGAAATTGACTCTGTGTGTATTGTGTATAGAAAGTAACTAGGAAGTTGTCTCTGTGTGTATTGTGTATAGTAAGTAACTAGGAAGTTGTCTCTGTGTATATTGTGTATAGTTTGTAACTAGGAAGTTGTCTCTGTGTATATTGTGTATATTAAGTAACTATAAAGTTGTCTCCTTGTGTATACACAATACACATAGAGACAACTTCCTAGTTACTTTCTATACACAAGATACATAGAGACAACTTCCTAGTTACAATACACAAGGAGACACATTTATAGTCATAGAGACAACTTCCCAGTTACTTTCTATACACAAGATACATAGAGACAACTTCCTAGTTACTTTCTATACACAAGATACATAGAGACTAGACTTATGTCAAGTGGTCTTTATCAATTCACTTTTCCTGTGAAAACTTTGAGTATTTTACTCTAAAACGGGAGCTTACGTTAATTATCCGGAAATAAAACAAAAGATTAAAATCTTTTATATTTCATACAAAATATTTGAAAATCCAGTTTATTAAAAATTGCAAAAAACCCAGACAACAGAGGACCTTGCATTTTTGCAAAAACAAACATTTCATTAATAAAAAAAAAATATAAATCACCAGGTACCACTCTCAGATTTGCATGCTGAATTGCATCAAATTATCCCCAAATCATAATTACCGAGACAGAGCACGGCAAAGTAAAACCGCCCAATGTACAAATTCACCTAATCCGTGAACTATCTATATGATAGGTTTATGAACAAAAACTAATAATTACCGTCAGCAGTAATATTGTAGTTTGTATAATCTAGCGCTCTGCAACATATCATGTTAATGTATGACAGTCATAATTTGCCGGAACTATGCTAATATTCCCACGTGGACTATGTTTCGGTCGATATATCACTGCTTAATACCGGAAGTAAAGAGTCTTGCCCAAGAAATTAATAGATTCACCTTTACGGAAACTGCCGAGGATTGTCGAATGACGATGTTTATAACATATAACGGATTTACCATTTACCATTTATCATTGTTTCCGTTAGATGCGACAAATCTCGTGCAGTATTGATGGTATAATCTACAAGTATCCTACACACATAAAGCACAAGGTGTCTCTCAAGACAATCTTTCAAAATTCCTCACTCCTCTACTTTCCATTCCATTGGCTCCTACCCTTATATTCGGCGTGGCACCCCCCTTGTCATCAAACCAAAACTGATTCGTAAACGTTATTTTCTTTACATCGCCTGGCTTTAAATTCCCAAAATTCTTGGTAGGAGTTATTTGCAATGTGTTATTCACATGTTCTATCATGACGTCATTTCCTTGTACAGAAAATGATTGGTCACTATTTAAGGATTGCAAATTTAGGTACCAGTTCCCGTTGGGAATTATTTCATTTCCACCATTTTTAAATATTATTTCATTTAACTTTTTCTTGGTGTCAGTTTCTGAATAACGTTGTGATATTTTTATTTTAAGAGTATTTGCTATCAAATCGACAACTGTTTGGTCAACTGCATGTATAAAGTATAAAGAATTAACAACCAAAAAAAATAGATATTGCAGAAAATTGTTGCTGAAAAAATGCAAACTCAAAAACCTCTGTAATGAAAATATCAATGCAAAATTTTAGAAAAATAATATCCGAAATTTTTATGTCAATTTTGTTACACAAGTTGTAGTTTTAATACAAAGGCAATCTTTACCTAAACTATGATAAAATTTGATAATTCTATTGATAATAGTTTTTCTAGTTATTTTTCATAATGTTGGCAACGAAACCTGAAATTTAAGTGAATAAAAAATAAACTTTCTTACCTGGATGGAGGACAACAGTACGACTTATTCTACTTCCATCATGATTTCTGCAATACACAACTTATCTTAAACTGCGTCTTATACTTTGACTTCATTATGCACTATTCGCGGTATGCAACAATTTGATTGGATTGTACGCTAGCGAATTCAGACAATCACAGCCCTCGAAAGACTCATTATGGCTATGGTTTTTGGTTTACAGACTTTCTGTACAATCCAATCAAATAGCTGCATTTACAATAAAAGATACAAGAAATTGCCTAATAAAGTCAAGGTGGGTTATTAGACGCAGTCCTTAATAGCTTGGCATTGTGAAAATGATAGTTAGTATGAGACCATAAATCAGCGAAAATTGCCGAGCCAACAGATGAAAGTGTGAAGTAATTATACAAAAAATGCCCAAGATGGGAGACTTCAATATAAATTGTAAACACTGTCTTGTTGGCGACTGAAATCGGTGCAGTATGTAAATGTTGTTTTTTTGTAAATTGCTATATCAATTGCTTTGATCAAGACTACTGACCTTGTCCTCAATAGAATAGGAGTATTTTCAGTGTACACTGTGTTTTTAGAGACTGTTTCCCAAATACCTTTTTCCGGTAAAAAATACTCGATAGTGTGACCCGGAAATTCTGTATTGGTTAGTATTCTGTTGTTTTCAACTCTGTAAAAGGACAAAAATTTAAATGATCTCCAGAAACACAACGAGAAAGAAACATACTGAAAGACAACAAAGCGAAAAAAATGTCAAATCTATCAAAGAGGTTGCAAAGTATGAACATATATCGACTGTGCCAGCAATTCCTAGTTTTTGGTCAGATCATTACACCAATGTCCAGTAATCTGTTCACTGGTAAGTCTTTATCAGATCAGTTTGTTTCTAAATAACACTTCAGGGAACGTTTGGCTTTCCATTTGCACCATTCCAAATTAACATCTGATATCATGATATCAACTAAGGATACAAACCGGGAATGAAAATTGCACGAGAGATGAGAACAGAATTATATGTATATGTAGAATTTATTCAAAAATGACACTTACTTTCCGCCTGGCAGTGGAATTCGGTACCGAATGCCAAGTTTTTCTAATCTCCATAAATAATTCCTTCCCACAATTTTAGAAAACCTTGACCAATCTTCATCCATATTGGCATTTCTTTTATCAACATCAGTTATAGATTCCCAAGCAGCCTTATGCCACCCTCTCTCAGCTAATGCTAATAATCTCGGGAAGATCATATACTCTAATCTTTCTGGGGATCTAACCGTTTCACTCCAAAGTTGACCTTGTATACCTGAAAATATCACTGCACTAGTAAAGTGGTCACACCATATTGAATATTATAATTAATTTTTTACAAATTAAAATTCACTAGCCTGAAACAACCTGGGTCGTTTAGCATGTTTAAGTTTGATTGCTACTCCTCAGGATAGGATGTTCACCATGAATGCTCCAATTTGATAAACGACGTTTAGATCATCACCTACCAACTATATTTTCTGGTTTCTTCAATGGAGGGCATATTTTGTTATTTCTGCATACTTGACTTGTAGTCTGAGGAATACCCATGACTGTTTGATCTGTATTCTGATAAATATCATCGACTATAAAACTAAAGACTCTCTTGGTATCAGTGAATCTGATAGCCCAAGACATTCCCGGTTCTTCAGGATCTGGCTCCTGGGGATGATCAAAATAGAGGTAGGTTGCTTGACACAGTATAACCTGAAATAACAGGTGACTATTACAGTCATGGCATAAGTATGAAGTTCATTATAGATTAACATTGTGAAGATGTATTCAGACAAGACGGATAAATTCAATTTTACTTGACTTCGATATTTCTCGCTATTTGGATGATATCCAAAATAATCAATACAGATTTATTGTCCAAATCAATGGGTTGGCATGAAGCCTTTTCGCAAAGAGTATAGGCAACAATAAACTAATCAAACTTTATGAAATGAAAATGCACAACGCCACATTAAAGTGAGCATCATTATACCTTATATCCAGCATTGGCAATTCTGTACGCAATGTCAGTAGTTCCCCATTCCCAAACATTTTGCCAAGTATAGACATACACATCTTTTGACTTGAGTGAAGCTTTATCAAATGGTTTTTGCTGCTCCGAAACACCGTCTTCCCACGCAGCCATATCCAATCCTCTTTTGGCTGTAAATGAACAGAATCCATTTTCAAAACTTACTTAGCTGATATATGTATCTTCCCAATCTTTCATTAAAATTAACTGGCTTACAGAGGGGTCTCAGAATACAAGGGAGCATGCTGAACATCTTTCATTCTTTCATTAACAGGCATTCAACTGACTTACAGAGGGGTATCAGAATACAAGGGAGCAGATTGAACATGTTTCAATCTTTCATTAAAAGGTTTTACATTGACTTACAGAGGGTCTCAGAATACAAGGGAGCAGGCTGAACATCTTTCAATCTTTCATTAACAGGCATTCAGCTGACTTACAGAGGGGTCTCAGAATACAAGGGAGCAGGCTGAACATCTTTCAATCTTTCATTAACAGGCATTCAGCTGACTTACAGAGGGGTCTCAGAATACAAGGGAGCAGGCTGAACATCTTTCAATCTTTCATTAACAGGCATTCAACTGATTTACAGAGGGGTCTCAGAATACAAGGGAGCAGGCTAAACATCTTTCAATCTTTCATTAACAGGCATTCAACTGATTTACAGAGGGGTCTCAGAATACAAGGGAGCAGGCTGAACATCTTTCAATCTTTCATTAACAGGCATTCAACTGATTTACAGAGGGGTCTCAGAATACAAGGGAGCAGGCTAAACATTTTTCAATCTTTCATTAACAGGCATTCAACTGATTTACAGAGGGGTCTCAGAATACAAGGGAGCAGATTGAACATGTTTCAATCTTTGATAACAGGCATTCAACTGACTTACACAGGGGTCGTTTCAGAATACAAGAGGGTAAACAATTTACCCCGGGGGAGGGATCCCAACCCACTTAGGTTCTCTTTCTGACCAAAAAAGTAATACGTACATGTAATATCGTCCACTCTCTTTAAAAACATGTCGCTTATTTGGTCTTTGGACATTGGATTCCCATGATTAAGGTTTTGACATTTTGGCGAATCTACCCATGCTCCTTTAGCAACCTCATCACCACCAAAATGATATAAGGTCAAAGGTTGAATATCTTTGTGCACGTTGATAAGCTCGTCAATTACGTGACCTAAAAATGTGTAGGTTGAGTTTAAACACGGATTGGCAGCACCATCGTTATAAAACTGTACGGATAAATATTCCGATTTATCATGAAAATCATGAAGAAGATATTCCTCCGCTAAAGTTCTGTTGAGATTAATCTTGTCATGATATCTCTTTTCCATAGCCTTAATGGCTGCACGTGCGTGTCCTGGAAAGTCAAACTCTGGTATAACTTGTATGTGTCTTGAAGATGCATGCTGAAGAATTTTCTTGTAGTCTGAAATGGTATAATAACCACTACCGGAAGTAGAAGAATCGGGACCGGATCCCAATTGAGGTGGAAGACATTCATCTACATTGAAACATCTTTTTGCTCCTATCTGAAATATTGTTAAGACAATGAACTACTTGTCAAGATCATACCATTACTATATGTTCTGTCTGTAGCTTAAGGCAACCCAATTCTTCTATTTAGGATGATGTGAACTTAATACCTATTAACAATTTTCAGAATGAAAACCCAACGTTCTCTCTATTTAGAATAATTTGACTGCAGCCTTAGTAAGGATGTCTTCGTAATTGTGATTATAGAGAATGATGCTAATAAAATACACAAATGTCTTAAAGCAGCTCATGTTATATAAACCGGATGTAGAAATATGAACATTCTATGTGTCTTTAAAAAGATTGTAAAGAGATGCTTTAATTTTTGTATATATATCAGGGACACTGATAACACAAATTTTCAATCAGACGTCTGCGATTCCTACAATGCCACTAAAACAAAGTGTTTGATGACGTCACTTATCGCAAAGGCCTTATGTGATTAAGCATAATATTATTTTCCGATTAGCGACGTTATCAAACACTTAGTTTTAGTGGAATTACAGGTACCATTGGCATCTGATTGTAAATTGAATTACATGTAGTCCAAATTGATGCTATCTGTGTCCCCGATACACGTCAAACATTAGAAAACTTATTTGCAGTATTGTTAAACAGGTAGATAACTTCATCTGTTGAACATACCTCGGTTAATTCTGGTAAACCTGGAATTTCCAACCTCCAGCCCTCATCGTCTGATAAATGAAGATGCAGTTTGTTCATCTTCACCATCGCCATTCCGTCAATCAACTTCACAATAGAGAATACTGGGTGAAAGTTACGAGAAACGTCAACATGCATCCCTCGATATGATAATCTAGGTTGATCCACAATTATCATATCACGTATCACATCACCAGTAGAAAAGAGTGCCAGAAAGGACTGAATTCCATTAAAAACTCCACTCGCTGATTTCCCAGTAATAGCTATCCAACTTGCTCTTGAACTAACTTCCAGCTTATAGGCTTCGATATGCCCAAAACTTTTCTTTGTCAATGGATGTATGACATCATCAATTATAAGCTCAATAACGTTTTTTGATGTTTGTTTATTGGCAATGCTTAACCCAGTTTCTCCTACAAAATAAGTGAGAATCTGAAACAATCTGGTTGTAGAAATCTGACATTGTTTCACTGTGTGTTTGATTCATAGAATTATTATATTACTGGTGGGTCGCCTCCCTTCAACTAAGTCTAGAATAAATAAATCGGACGAAAACTCTATCGTCAATGGTGCTTTAAAACAAAAGTCATCCGAGATCTTATCAATACATATAATCAAACCAAACAGCATGCAAATGGTTCTTAAAGCTGCTTTTGACGTGCAATAACAGAAAAATGTAAAGGATGGAACTAACAAAACATGATTGACTAACGCTAGAATCAATTTTCTTACCTTTCAAATACTTTCCTTCGGATGTTAAAGCTTCTGAATGTCGAATCACCCAGGAGTTATTTACCTTGATTGAACCATGACCGGATGTCGTAATGACATCTATAGGTTTAGGAATTAAGGGAATAGAAAAGTCTGGTGTTTTGGTTTCGTCATCCATGGAATCGTGGTACCTGAAAGATACACACATTTTCTGTAATACAATACTTGTAACGTTTACATGACATCCATTTACGATACAATGCTTTATTACTAGACACCCATTTAATGTATTACAATGCTTTATGCTTTACACGTTTACAAGACACCCATTTTCTATAATACAATGTTTTAAACGTTTACAAGGCACCCATTACTGTAATACAATACGTTAAACGTTTACAAGGCACCAATTGCCTGTATTACAATGCTTTATAAGATTAAATGGCACCTATTTACTGTAATACAATGCTTTATATGTTTACAACGCACCCATTTACTGTGTTACAATGCTTTATTTGTTTACAACGCTCCCATTTTCTGTAATACAATGCTTTATATGTTTACAACGCACCCATTTACTGTAATACAATGCTTTATATGTTTACAACGAACCCAGTTACTGTGTTACAATGCTTTATTCATGGGCATTATGTTGACTACAATAGAGTTATTTAGATGTCGGATTGTGGTTTAGAGTGTACCGGTTTATTGGGGGTTTCCTTTTTATAGATTATATAAATTCGGTCGGGACTTCTCAAATATGTCGGTTTAGAGGGAATATTTGTTTGCATTTGGATGCGGTTTGGAGGGATTTCACTGGACTTTTTTGTTCAGATTTGGTATGATGGTATCAATTATATACCTTTTTGTAATCATTGTAATATAAAGATGATGATTATAATGTTTACCTGCGATATCTATCCTGGGCTGAATAAGGGTTGTGTACATCAGTTTTTGACCTCTTCCACTGTTCAGGTCGGCTCATGTTTGATACATAGTTTAACGTTCTAGTATTTTCAATGACCGATGCTTTGAATCCAGAAAATCTTATGTACCAATTGGGAAAGGACTGACTTCGCGCTACATACCAGTGTCTCATTTGAAAATAAATCTGTCTATCACTCCTTGGTTTCATGTCAGTAAAACTATGGATAGGGGAAAGTATAAACTGCGATCCTTTCCAGTGTCTAAATTTTATCCCATAATTTGGCAGAATTCTTTCACTCCCAGGTAAAAAATACGGTTCGACCATTCTAATAGAGTCAAAATAAATTTCCCAGTCTCGACCAATCAGTGGTCGATCACCAGTGTTCTTCAAAGTTAGTTGTATTTTACATTTGTCTGTCTGAAATGCTGTATTAGACACGACTTTCCAAACAATATGTAAATGACGTGATATATAATTTACATATTCTTCATCTGGTATTATCCTATGGTTATGGTTTGATTGTGTGGGTTGTTGGTTTGGTTGCGAGTGGTGTCCTTTGGTGTACATTTGATCTGATATGACACAAAATTCCAAGATAATACGAAAGTATTATAAAAAAAAATACTGTAAGTCGCTAGTAATAGTACAACGTTTGAAATAAAGATCACAAAGCAAACTTGTACACTAACATTATAGCCCTAATTGCTCTACTGGTGTACACATAGTTACTTTAGATGGACAAAGGATGGTATGAGTAAGGTTACGACAGGCATGACATCCTTTACCCTTAAGCCCTCCAACCTAGACATAAAATGGGCATCCCGGCTGTCCAATGGACTTAGATATTCAATGTAGCTACTTTAATCTGGAATACGCTATTTTGTAAAGGATGCCACTAACACAATGCTATCTCACACCTCCCATTTCTAGGGATATATACCTTGCCAATATTCATGTGTAGCATTTTCCCTTACTATTAACCAATCCTTATGGCTGATGCCGAGTCGTCATTATTTTAACATTCAAAAGCGTATAATTCTGGACAGACATGGATTTGAAGGCTCAAATTTCGATGGTGAGCTGTGAATACTATTATTGATTGGCTTAGCTAAACATTTCCCGTTTCTGAGACTAAGGTAAGATTGGTGAAAAAAAATGGCGCACAGGTCCCTTTAAAACCATATATAATATTCATACTTACTTAGAAATGGAATTCTTTGCTCTGTTTTAAAGATTTTTTGTAGTGTCAAAATATTAAATATACAAACTAAGAATAACGTCACAAGCAAAATCCAAATTCTCTTCCGCATGTTGAGATCGTCTAGTTTAACGACTTAAAACTATTTTAATAAATCATTCGAAAATGTTGCTTTCATCGGCTAACACAAATATTTGTGCATATACACTTGATAAAGCTGATATACGTTCTCCATCAATACATTTAGTTGGTCTACAATATATTAATTCGCTTTAAAACAAGAAAATGACACATTATAAAGATAGCTTGCCAGACAAGGTAACATACGCCCACTGGCAGCTGTCAGATATGATAAAACAGTCTTTTGTGACTACAGTACGAATTTTCTCACATTAAAGATGGGTTTCCTTATTTTTAGTGTCAAATTAAGCAAACTATTTGATTAATTGGTGTTTCTAATGAATTATCGTGTATTCTTAATCATATCAGTATGTTCTTATTGCATATAATTAAGAGTTTTAACCTATCATAAAAAAAGACTTTTTGACCTTTCTTGATAGGTCACTCATTGGAATTCTGCTGGTAATTCTCTTCTAATTTGGCTAATTATAAATCAATTATGGATGTGTGAGACAAACTGGTATTTTTCCAAGTCATTAGAACACCTCTACTTTCTATTTATATAAGTATTATCATTTTCATTTCCAGAAATGAAAATAAGGGAACCCATCTTTAAAGAAATTTAATTAGTTTGAATTCAATGATATATATATTTACTGCCAGTTATATATGCTGAGGAAGTCCACAAAATTTTTTAAAATCAATATCAATAACCCAAAAAGGGGCGACGGCCATATACGTCCACATTTCCAACACATAAATATACATATATATAAATTCATATCTGTATCATTTCGCTGATTTCAAAATTAACATAAGCCACTCTACGGGGTACCATATAAGTGGTGTGTCTGTGCAATCGTAAAATAAAGGCCAGTTTAAATATTAAAGGAACAGTATGGTTTATGAAAAATGAAATGAATGGAACTTTACGTCCTACCTTCTTCACCATGTGGGCTAATGAAGACGGGCAATGCCATGCAGGGTGCGATGAGGGAAATTTTGCCAAGACAGCGGCATTAGCCTGCTCTTTTTTTATTTCCAACTGTCGGGGGATCTTTAACGTGCACAGCCTGTAGCACACTGGGCCTCTGTTTATAGTCCCATCCGACTAGACGCTTTTTCCATGTCAGCCCCTCTTACCTGCATCACTGACAGGGGGAAACCGGGTTAAAAAATCCTCCGAAGGTATTATCTCGACCTATGCCGGGATTGAACTCTGGACCTTCAGGTTAGCGAGCAAGCGTCTAACTCGCTGAGCCACCACGGATCCCTATGGTTTATGTAGTAGGTCGGAAAATGTATGTGCTCCATAACGAGATATTTTTAACCTTATCTGAATGTTTTAACTAAAGAGTCCTGTCGTTAATATTTTATCTTAAAAGTTTACGTAAGTTCGTTAGACTCTTTGGAGGCTATTAGAAAACATAGTGTACGGGTTTTTTTTCAGAGAGAAATATGTCTCCTACGTATACTAAAGGTTTCAACTAATAATATCGAGCCATTATAAGGGCCAATATCAAAACAAGTTTAAACTTCTTACTTAACAATAGGTACACTTCGTTCTTACATTAACCCTTTTAACATATTCTGATTGATCAAATAGATACAATAATGAATAGCATATTGAATATATTTTCACGTATAATTCACATCGTTTTTATTAATGAAAATATTTTGCATACTACCCCTTTAATATGTTATATGGATTTTGTGTCATTGACGGTTTAAAATAACTACACTATATATAGAGGGACATGGCTGATGTCTACAAAGCCATTGTATTACATAGCCGTGAATCGATGCAATAACGTCTATGTGAAGTTTTAACATACCTTTCATTACAGTAGCCTACTGTATATTTAATAATGATCCACTATTTCAATTTTTTGTGATAGAACCTAACAGGGTGTACGTATAATAACGTATTCAATTCAACATTTCACACCTAGTTACACCTTGTATAACAGCGCGTACAAAACTTACTACAGAATACATGGGTACGATGTCCCGCCATCACAGCAATGAAATATCCGAATACGAATCTGATGGCTATATATAGAATAGTTTAGAATGTGTACATTTTTAACAGTTCACCGAACGAGCTCTGCTCAAAAAACTTTTGACAATAATTTTAATTGCGCTGTGCTATATTTGCAATTCTGCTAACAGCTGGTAGCGAATAACAAATTCAATATTGAATTATTTTATCGACTTCAAAGGATGACAGATGTATAAAAGCTTTTAATAATAAAGGTTCTTATCGTACATATATCGGAATAAATTTTCCACGGTTTAAAGGGGATACATCAGTTAATAATTATTAATCAAAGATAGCATATTTAAGAGTAAATTCAAGCAAATTATTATTGATAATTGGTGTTTATAATGAATTATCCATGTATTCTCTATCAAAAGAACTGTATGTAGACGTAGAAGGCTTGGAGGAAACAATATACTCAAGTCCACTTGGTGAAGCTACATTTAGACTCCATGTTTGTTTACGTCACCAAAGCTATATTCGAATTTACTGGCCGCATTTTCGTACATTAATATTATGAGCTAAATCTATTCGGAAGGAGATATGGAGTTAAAAGTTAAATTAATTCAATATATTTTTGCGACTCGAGTAGCTGTTGCATATGATTAAGAGTTACAACCAATCATGAATGTCCATGGCTGTACAGACTTGATAATAAAAAAGAGACAAATCGATAGTTCTATCGCAGTCAAATGTAAGAATATGCATTCTCTTCGTAATTAGCTAGGGTTAGGGTTAGGGTTAAATTCAAAATAGCGTGATGTCTACGTCTACATATACACCAATCAAATAAAAATAAGATTACCATTTCGTATTTTTTTTGTTTATCGCAGGCTATGAAGTCGTGGATGATAGTTGGATCGGGATCGCAATCCTATAAACAAATTGAATTATTTTTTATTTCTTCTAAAAATCGTAATCCAACAATGATACTTATTTGGCTATACCTATGACGTGAATCAAAGATGGCCTCCATTTCACTGCTGTCATTGTTAAACTATGATTGTGTCTGAAATGAAACTTTCCTGTAGTATTGATTGGATACCGAGGGATTTAATAATGGGAAAAAGTCGTGACTCCATTGTGCTGATTGGAAGCCTTTTATTAAACTAAAGGGAAGTTACTCGTACTGTGTTCATTGAAAAATCGCCAATATCGATAAGGGGTCTTTCGTATGGTATATATTTCATTCATAAAACCTTGATGCTGTAAAGTTTATTTATGTTGAAACACATGTTGTCGAGTTTGAAAGTTTTGAATTGGAATATACAAATCAATTATAGCTTGTGTGTCTCACTATTATTTGGTTAAGAAGATTGTGTTATGAAGGTGAAATTGAAATAGTTGACCTCACACAGATTATGTCTGACCCCCCGCAGACAGGGGTGTAATATCCACTATACAAAGTAATATTAAAGGTAAACATAGAGCGATATTGTTAATAAATAACTTAGTTTGTCGCGGTCTTTGATCTTTACAAACGATAATACAGATATGCGTAGGGATAGTTTCTGGTGTCGGTCTTTTCCCGAATTTCGAGTTAGTTTGGTTTAACGATACTTCATAATAAATACACACATTATTCCAATAGAAAACCAGTTTGAACTTAGCAGAGTCAATGTATCCGTTGACAGCTTTTTGACTTTTCTTTCATATTAAGACAAGGCATTTAAAGAGATTGTGGAGAGGTTATCTGAATTTTTTATGAGTATCGGGGGACACCGATATAAATAATTCCTCTTGTATGTTTAGGCCTATACTTAGAGGAAATATTTATCCAAATACACTCTATGGAAATAGTTGCAGAGTTTCTTCTCTTAAGAGTGCTTTTAACAAAAATGTCACAAACACCGACAAAATATCAAGTTTGTTGTTCAAAATGCCCATGATATACACAGATAAAACGTCATAGGTTTATAACGCCAATTGGCGAAATAAAAATCACGGTTTATTTAACACTCTTTGAACTGTTTGTAATGATGATAATGATGATGACGATAACAATGATGATGCAGATGATGAAATAGGTCCTTTACAAGTTTGAACATCCATAGTTTTAGAACACTCTTTACATTTCACTAGACAACACCAATGAAATTTACATTCACACTGTTCTTGTTTGACAATAGTTTTAGTGTCATATCCTCTCCCACAACACATAATATCACAGCCGCCCGTCCCCAGGGACCCTTTAATACACTCTCTTCCTTCTGTACCTAGTGATCCTGAAATATATAGATAATATTCCAACTTAAATATCCATAGATATCGACGTGTACCCTTTAAATGTTTTCCCTTGACGATAATCATATTGACCACTTCAATCTCGTCTCACCAAAGTTTCTTTATTCTTTCGAAAGACTGAAATATTCGAGATAATAACATTTATTCCACATGAAATAAATTTAGTTATCTCGGTTCTGATAACTTGTGATTTGTGGCCAATCGGCTTGGATTATCAACCATATATATTATGAAAAAAGGGAGACAATGCTTTGATTCGATGATTAACCCGGATGTAAGCAACTGTAAACTTCGGTTTCGGAAACTGAAAGCTACTGATCGCCAAAAAATGAAATGAAATGAATGGAGGTTTACGTCCTACTTTACTGCACCATGTGGGCTAATGAAGACGGGCAACGACAATGAAGGAAATTTTGCCAGGACAGTGGTATTAGCCTGCTCTTTTTCGATTTCCAACTGTCGAGGGATCTTTAACGTGCACAGTCTGTAGCACACGAGGCCTCGGTTTATTGTCCCATCCGAACGATTTGACGCTTTTTCCATGTCAGCCCCTCTTACCCACATCACTGACAGGTGGACAGATCGCCAAAGAAACGGTTAAAGTTTTGTTTAAATTTCAAATTCAGCAATCTTCCCCTCCTCTGTTGCATTCTGCTGTCCATCATCATATCAGGGTTAGGTGCCGAAGGCTTTGCTTTTTTTTTGCAAGGTTGTCAATGAAACTAGTGCCAATACAGAAATGGTTTATTCGTCGCGGCTGAGTGAACCTGGCGATTTACGCATACCTGAGATAAATTTTCTTTAATTTTAATTTAATCTAATAATTCATATAGTCAGAACAGCTGTAAAATAAACTGTAACAAAGTTTTGACTTCAATTTTTCTTTTTTCTTTTTTTGGATTTTATTTTTCCTTCGTCGCTAATTTACCTTATTGGTAGGTCGGCGACATCATATATATATTGTTTAAACTTAGCCGTGGCCACATTTCGCCAAACCACAATAAAAGAATATTGAATAATGTCCTTGTTTTCTTTTACCATAGTCCTGAGATAACGTGTAAGAATGGCAAGGTAATGACGTTTACATGTACATCGTACTCTTTAGTCTTTGATTCAAGCGAAAAGTTGAACATGCAAATAAATAAAGGACTGCTAAAGGTTGATGGAATGTTGAATGATGTGGCTTCTTACCAAATCTTACCCCATGCAATCATCATTTTGTAAAAAGCCATTTGATTGGCAGGTTAATTGTAAGATGATTAATGATTGGTTAAGAATATCATAAGATATATAATATAAACTGCCTGTCAGACATCAAACCCATGTTTTTATTTCATTTTCAAGTTGACAATCAAATATTGAGATTAATTTACGCTGATATTTACCAAGTATAAAATTTCTCGTTTCAGTTAGGTGGGACACAAAAAACATCAAACTATCATATTTACAAAATTATTTATCAAAATAAAGATAAGATACCCTTATCCAGACGTAACAAGACGTCGTATTGCTAAAACGTTAATCGCGAAAGACTGGTTGTTCATGACTTTTGTCACCATTCATGGTTAAAGTTACACAAATTATTAAAAATAATATTAAAATTGTCAAATATTTTCTAAGAATTTTGATTAATTTGTCGGATGTCTGTTGTTGAGGACAATTCGTCGTTAAAGTGGATTAAACAAAACTTCAAGGTTGTCGATCATAATAGTGGCTGGAAAGAATGCGAGAATAGAAATAAAAAGAGTAGGAGAAAGAGAAGACCAAATTAAAGAACCTCAAAAAGAAAGAAAATACAGCGATGAGGGATACAATTTATGCAGTATTATTGAAGAGAAACGTTTAGATACTTGAAAGTTATGGAAATTATCAAATCTGATTAAATTAATATTATGTCATTGACTTGTTGAACGAGTTTTTGATTTCCTTTTCAACTTAAATAATTGAAACGGATTCTTGGTTTAATATGTAACAAATAATAGAATTAATGAATTAATAAATAAATAAATAAATGAATTAATTAATTAATAAATTAATAAATTAATAAATATAATAAATTAATAAATTAATAAATAAATTAATAAATTAATAAATTAATAAATTAATAAATTAATAAATTGATTAATAATTTGATAAGTTAATAGTTTACTAACCACTCTCTTCATCTTTGATACAATAATCAGGAGAGGATTCAAAATAAACCAAATCAGATCTAGTTGGATGTTTGTGGTTTTTATTGGCAACTATTAATCCTGTACCGGCCTGGTTCATCATTATCTGAGTGGCACCATTATATTTTCTTTTAAGAAAATCTCCTACTCGTCTGAAATCTTCCATGGCTAACCAACATGTTCTAAGAGTACATGAGCCACTAATTCCATGACATTTGCACATCAGTTTTCTGAATCGTCTGACAGCCTGAAAATTTTGAAAAGATACGAGAAACAAAATATACAAGTTACAGCTATGCATAAATAAAATCACAGCGCGGGCCTAGAAGACATATTTGAGTAAGTATGAATATTTGAGAAATAACTTTGTTTTGAAGAAGAAAATATCAATTCACGATTCATTGCAAATAGTCTGATTTGAAATGCACCCCTTCTCATTTGAGAACAATAATTATTTTGACCTTAAGCTGAATAATAGACCGAAACACCAGCCTCAGATAGCTATTTTGAAAGTTGTCTGTAGAGTTAGAAAATTATGTTTTGTTTTATGGGGATTTTTCCGGAGGTGCAGTGCTATTTATTTAAATCGTATCCGCATCTTACAGGTAATTTAATATCATGAAATATCTAACCGAGGCCGAAATAGAGGCAGATGTTTCGGACTATCCAAATAAGAAATCATTGGACGGCATTTAATTGCGATTTGAAAATCCAGGATTTCGATCACTTTGATGACAATGACTGTATTGATTTCGGTTCTCTGTTTTTTTCAGACAAACTTTGGGATGGTTAGTTTAAATTAATGTGATTACCCGTCTTCCAGCTCTGTTATTATGGAGATTCATCAACGCTCTAGCATCACTGACTCTCTTTTCTTTGGCATCAACAAACATCCTGGAAAATCTGCTACCAAATCGCACACTATCAGAGCATCCACCCCAATCAAACTCGCCTTTCGAGTCTTTACTTGTACCGCGTTTTGTCGGATCACACGCACAATGTAACAATTCACCTTTACTGCAAGCACTAGTAATCGAATACACCACACCAGCAGATGAAATCGAATACACAAAAGCAGCTTCACGGGTACCTGGAAAGGATTATCAGAGATTTTGATTCGATCACCACGTGAAAATAAGGATCCTATTTACAGATTTACACGAATCCCATATATTAATCATAAATTATATCAAGAGTTTGAGTAAAACACTACCACACCAGTTAAGACTATCGTCATTTCCAGGACAAGCAGCTTTTGCCAATGACTTCAAAATATAGGCACTTAATTAATGCAGGTGAGAATATTCAAAGAGTGCTCGAGTATTGTCAATAATTAATAATTATTATTTTATACAATTGATCATCTCATTTCAAATTGGAAATAGCATTAAACCTTAAATAGTGTTGATACATATATTGAGGACATACCTTTTAACATACTTTTTCCAAAGACAGATGCATCACGATGAAGCGTGCTACAGTTCCATCTATGATCCTGGAATTGGTATTGGCATTCCTCAACTCCTAATCTTGCTCCCTCTCTGAGCCACACCATTACGTCTGGATAGTGCCGACACATCTTTCTCTGTTTGCCGACCAAGCCAGGAATATTATCACAGAGAACACCTGTACTTACAGCGTGGAGAGGTAATTGACTTATAAACCTTCAAAATATAATTTTATGACGGTTAGAAAAATGTGCAATTATTGTAACAAGCCAAGTAAGTAGATACGGATAAAATAGTTTGGTATGCGTACTGAATAGTGACAAATGTCGCAAATTCTCAATTAATTTCGTCTTATATTAGTCAACTTTAAAAAAGCAGAAACTGTGAAATAACTCACAAACAGCAAAGATAAATCATACAACTTGGTGAAGAAAACTTGTAAAACAAATAAACATATTGTGATAAAATAAAGTAGCTAAGTTGATATAATTCTCAGATCAAAGGCTAAATCCATTTATTAACTTCACTTGATATCTGTTGTATTGATATGAACTATTTATTTGATTAATTTTAATATTGGAGTAAGACAAGGCGACGTGATAACACCCTACTTATTCTTCTCATTAATCAATGACTTCTCAAAAAATAGCTACTATTTTACAAGTTAAAAAGTAAATTAAGCCTAGTGTCATTCGTTAATTTTTAGAAAAAATATTTTTCTTAAAACATTTGCAGCATAATGTCATCTTTGTAGAATACAAGTTGAATACAAATAGTTCTTAGAATCTTTATATTTTCTGTTATAAGATACTATCACAATAATAAATGCACTTTACATTAATAAATGTATTTCATTTTAGAATAGTTTATGAATTAATCGTTTAACCTTAAGTTTAAGTGTTTGACTCTGAAACTAAACATTTCCATAGCAGATTGTACTCGTCTAGCACTAAATCAAACTATCTTTGTCAAGAATTAATGACTCTACGACTGAAAACGGGGGTTTCTGGTGTAAATTCAATGAATCAGTAGTAAATTGTGGACGAGATTTTTGTGTAAATGTTAACAAGAATTCATCTGGGGAACATCAGAATAAGAAAAATATTTTTATCTATTTTTACTTTAGCACAAACATCAGTTACATTTTGTATGATTTCAGTCCGTTGAAAATATGTCCCAGTGTAAAAATGTGTTTAAATAAAATCTCACGTAGAAATTACGATATTTCAATAGGATTACAAAACAAATTCTATATAATTCTGGATAATGACCATACAGGCCCCAGGTCCATGGCAAACCTTTTTCATACTTTCAGTTGAGATATTTCTCAAATTTACAGCAGCTTTTAAATTGTATCTGATCTTATCAAATAAAAATATATATCAATCTATTCCTTGGAACACAATGTTTCTGAAATTATCACATTGGTCTTCAAATTTTACTATTTCTTTAAGCGAGGGCACTATGAATTTTAGTAAAATCTTAGATGAGCATGAGGAATATTTTGTGGTCCTTTGGCCTGATCTATAGGAATTTTTGTCTTAGATGAAACTGCAAAGTCTGTCTTAAATATTATCCTACAGCCTGGCCTTTCATTAAGTAATTACCATCTGTAATTAGCCAATTTTAAGCATACCCGTGCCCGTTTGTTTGATACATGTTTGACTGTATCTAAATATATGTACAGTAACATAATTGTAAAGAAAAATTTCAAAAGGACTTACCACCATGTAGCAACCAGAACTCGCACCTTGAGACTGACCAAAATGAAAAACAAGAATACTTTCACAGACAAAAATCCTTTCCTGCCCATCGTCTTACAGCCATTGACAAAAAATTTTCAACCACATACCACAGAATTGCAATCCACAGCGAAATCGAAATATTCGAAGTAACGTTAATTCAATCAGTAGATTTAATGCAAATAGGGAAAAAATAACTATAACGTTTCTTCACGAAATTCAGAATATCACCCTGTTTCTGTCCACATCAGACAATATATTTTATCCATAAGTATTCAATTATTTTATAATCCCATACCATGCCATTATTATGAAGATAAAAATTCTTAAAACCACCCTACACGTCGCAAGTATTCCAAAGGGAATATATTCATTTTTGGAATCCAAGCACATTCACTTCAAAACTCAACACAAAATGATTTCATTATTAAATATTTCCAGAATAGAACAATTCATAAGATATATCTAAACATTATAAACGTAGGAAAACACAAACTTATGAACATTAACGGGTTTATCCTTATGTATTTCCAACTTAGCCAACAAATATGTTCTGAACTATCCTGACTACAGCTTTGAAGGCGTGACTATCGTAGACTGTGGTAGATAATTTTAACTAAACCAAAAGGTGCGCTGCAATCTTTATTTTTCTATCGTTTAAACCCGACTAAAGGTAAAATTGGTGAAAATTTAAGAGACTGTCCCTGTAATAGGGATACGATTTCAAATATCATTACTATGGGATCGAGACAAGGAATGCTATTGGATCCTATTTATTCAATTTATGTGTGCACAAGTTTATACTTAGTAGGAAAATGTAAAGGAAATCATTATTCATTATGGTTCAGTATTTAATCATGAAATTTATAAATAAATGTAATCTAAATTTCTTGCGAAAATATTGAATTTATGATATAACGGCTAACGGTGAATGGATTTAACGATACCTGCGTTACTTATATTACAGAGTGAACCTCTTTAATGCAGATGTAGGTCTCTAGGATGGAAAATAACGTGAAATCTATCATATTTACCAGCTTAATAAAACCGTTTAATACGATTTACCTAAATCTCTCAAGTTTACCTCTGATATATATAATTCAACCAATACAATAATTCAAAAAGACTTCAATTTTATATTTTACTATAATTTTCATCAAACTTTTACTCAATATTTGAAAATATTTGCTGTTCATAATTGAAAATATTCAAATCTTTCTGTATCGTCAAATTTTCATTCAAAATATTTCAAATATAAGTGAAAACCAATTTTGAGGCGATAATCTATTTTGTGAAATATTTGCAATAGTGTCACGTTAATAATCTGTAAATAAACAAAGAGCTGGAAACAAAATAAATAAATAAAATAGGTAAACAAAACCAAACAGTTACACATACGATATTTATTTATAACTTTTGTTACAGTTTGTGGATAACTTTCAAAAACATTATTTTGTGACATATTCTTTAATGTTGAACTAACAAGAACTTTAAAAGGGTCCCGAAGATTCTTTATTTTATGATTTTTAAACTTGCTTTAATTTTGTTAAAGGTATGTTTATTTATTTTATTTGTCATAAATGATGACAAAAAAATACTGTTCCCTTTGAATCGGTATACAAAATTACGTAATTGAATAAGAGTAATCAGATAAATAAATATAGCGGACTACATATAAAATTAGAAATATAACTGGGAGTAATGTAGTAAATAAATATAGCGGACTATATAATAAGAGTATAACTGGGAGTAATGTAGTAAATAAATATACCGGACTATATAATAAGAGTATAACTGGGAGTAATGTAGTAAATAAATATACCGGACTATATAATAAGAGTATAACTGGGAGTATTGTAGTAAATAAATATACCGGACTATATGATAGAGTATAACTGGGAATAATGTAGTAAATAGATATACCGGACTACATATAAAATTAGAAATATAACTGGGAGTAATGTAGTAAATAAATATACCGGACTATATGATAAGAGATATTACTGGGATTATTGTGGTAAATGAATAAACCGGACAATATGATAAGAGATATAACTGGGATTATTGTGGTAAATAAATATACCGGACTTTATAACTAGAGATATAACTGGGATTATTGTGGTAGATAAATATACCGGACTATATGATAAGAGTATAACTGGGAGTAATGTAGTAAATAAATATACCGGACTATATAATAAGAATATAACTGGGAGTAATCTAGTAAATAAATATACCGGACTATATGATTAGAGATATTACTTGGAGTAATATAGTAACTGGGAATAATGTAGTAAATAAATAAACCGGACTATATAATAAAGTCTGTAACTGGGATTATTGTGGTAAATAAGTATACCGGACTATATAAAAAGAGATATAACTGAAGGAATCTAGTAAATAAATATACCGGACTATATGATTAGAGATATTACTTGGAGTAATATAGTTACTGGGAATAATGTAGTAAATAAATAAACCGGACTATATAATAAAGTCTGTAACTGGGATTATTGTGGTAAATAAGTATACCGGACTATATAAAAAGAGATATAACTGAAGGAATGTAGTGAATGAATATACCGGACTATATGATAAGAGATGTTACTTGGAGTAATATAGTAAACAAATATACCGGACTGTATAATAAGAGATATTACTGGGAGTATTGTGGTAAATAAATATACCGGACTATATAATAAGAGATATAACTGGGAGTATTGTGGTAAATAAATATATATAAAAAAGAGATATAACTGAAGTAATGTGGTAAATAGATATACCGGAGAGTATTAGTAGTAATAAAAGATATAGCTGGGAGTATTGTGGTAAATAAATATACCGGACTATATAATAAGAGATATAACTGGGAGTATTGTGGTAATTAAATATACCAGACTATATAATAAGAGATATAACTGGGAGTATTGTGGTAAATAAATATACCGGACTGTACAATAAGCGATTTAACTGAGAGTAATGTGGTAAATAAATATACCAGACTATATAAAAAGAGATATAACTGAAGTAATGTGGTAAACAAATATACCGGACTATATAATAAGAGATATAACTGAGAGTATTGTGGTAAATAAATATACCAGACTATATAAAAAGAGATATAACTGAAGTAATGTGGTAAATAAATATACCGGACTATATAATAAGAGATATAACTGGGAGTATTGTGGTAAATAAATATACCAGACTATATAAAAAGAGATATAACTGAAGTAATGTGGTAAATAAATATACCGGACTGTACAATAAGCGATTTAACTGAGAGTAATGTGGTAAATAAATATACCAGACTATATAAAAAGAGATATAACTGAAGTAATGTGGTAAATAAATATACCGGACTATATAATAAGAGATATAACTGAGAGTAATGTGGTAAATAAATATACCAGACTATATAAAAAGAGATATAACGGAAGTAATGTGGTAAATAAATATACCGGACTATATAAAAAGAGATATAACGGAAGTAATGTGGTAAATAAATATACCAGACTATATAAAAAGAGATATAACGGAAGTAATGTGGTAAATAAATATACCAGACTATATAAAAAGAGATATAACTGAAGTAATGTGGTAAATAAATATACCGGACTATATAATAAGAGATATAACTGAGAGTAATGTGGTAAATAAATATACCAGACTATATAAAAAGAGATATAACGGAAGTAATGAGGTAAATAAATATACCAGACTATATAAAAAGAGATATAACTGAAGTAATGTGGTAAATAAATATACCGGACTATATAATAAGAGATATAACTGAGAGTAATGTGGTAAATAAATATACCAGACTATATAATAAGAGATATAACTGAGAGTAATGTGGTAAATAAATATACCAGACTATATAATAAGAGATATAACTGAGAGTAATGTGGTAAATAAATATACCAGACTATATAAAAAGAGATATAACGGAAGTAATGTGGTAAATAAATATACCGGGCTGTAACATAATTGATTTAATTGAAAGTAATGTGTTAAATAAATATACCGGACTAATATAAGTAATTTGGTATAAAATATACCAAACTAAATCGGGTGGTCCAGAAAAACAAAACACTCTTCAATTCAGTATTTTACATGAAGTAACAAAGCTATGGTCATTAAATTTTAACCTCACAATTATAGACATCTTTTCACCAAATTTGAGCTTTACAGGTCGGATAACTTTTGAATGCCATCTTTTTCAAAATTCTGTGTGAAAAAAAAGTATAATGCTGAAAATAATTACTATAATTTCATATATTGAACTAAATGCACAATATTTTCAACAAAAATCACCTGAATTCTTTATTTTCGTGACAAGATATTCCCTGTCAGATTTATTCAAGTGGCATTTTGTAGCATTTCTCTTCTGTTCCTCCAGCCTCTCCTTCGTTTATTTTGTCAGCGAGAGAAAACACACTGTTAACCTTTGATTGTAATCAAGTGTTTGCGGTGGCCATTCATCTTTTGTATAAAATATTCCAAATTTCAAAAGGTAATTTTTTCATCGAAAGAGCATTTCGATAGCTTTGATAGTTTTTGAAAATCCTTAAATGAAATATGGTATCTTTTTTTCTGGACCACCCAATATAATATACTGGGAGATAAGTATACCGAACTATAAAATAAGAGATAGGAGTAATGTGGTAGTTACTATACCGGACTATATAGTAAGCGATGTAACTGAGAGTAATGTGGTAAACTGCAGTGTTTAATAAATACCTGTTAATGTCAATATCCAGGTTGTTTTACCCGCAATTGTATCTTTCTATTGTTTTAACATGTTTAATTCTTTCCATCTTACCAATCAGGCAGAGCTAGTTTATTCCGTGTGTTGCATTTCATCTCGCCAGTTCTTATCTTAGTAAAGTATCTCTGTCAAAGTCCATCAGATTGTTGTGTACAAAGACAAATGCTATTAAGACAGTAAACAGCATATTATTATAAGTTGCCACAGATCCAGAAAACAGTGGCTCTGGTGTTAATCTTTTACTTCAGTGCCATCACTTAAGCTTTCTCTAATCCATAGTTCTAATGCGTCATATTGCATTTTGGGTTTTTACATTTAGATATGCCACCAGTATATCAGTTTCAACTTTTACATGTCAACAGTACATCGTAACAATTCTATCAATATCTATATATTACCTTGGTATTTGGTAAATACACGTAACCATTTCGTAAATATATGAGTTAAAGGTATATTACCTCTAATCAACGCTCATTATTCTTCAATTACTTGTTCACGACCCTTATCACCAAATTAACGATATATTTGCGACAAAGTGTTTTATTCAGAGGCGGAATTTCGACAGATCTCCTTCGCCTTTAGTTTGCATTAACAAACTGGATTGAAGGAAACACTTTGTGGTACAGCTCCTTTAACCATATCACTTCTGGTATTCAATCAATCTCGATAAAGCGCGTAGTTTGGTATGATGTCACGTGCTGATAAGAATAGTTTCTCGTGTTATTAGATGTCAATCATAAGGTGATAGATTCCTGCTAAAACATGGCATACAGTTACAGACGAACACCCATTGAGATCAACAACAACCCCACTCGACTCTCATCTATCAACATTCGAAACTTATAGTTAACTTTTACTTCAGTAGTGTCTCAACAGTATTGGTTCAGTCAGCAATCACACGGCAAGATGACTTTGTCATTAGACATAATCAAACTTTATAAAAGCGATAGGAATCATTTTAATGACAGCAACTGTTCAAGTCAGAAGGGTACAGCGAGTTTACCGCTTTTGATTCCTCTCTTCCTCTGCCCAGTTCTGCTACATAAATATCTGAGATCGGCTATCTTCTGATTCAAATGACATTACATTCGTGATTTAGCAACCTTAAAGGGGCAGGTAGGGCCATTTTTTCCACCAATCATACTTTAGTCTCAGAAACAGGATTTTTTTTAGCTAAGCCAATCAGTTATTGTGTCCAAAGCTCACCATCGAAATTTGAGCCTTAAATCCATTTGTGTCAAGAATTATCCGCGATTGAATGTTAAAATGACAACTCGTCAATTTAAGATACTCTGTGATACATAGAGAAGAGATATAGAAAAAGTGAGTAAAATTCCCAGTATGAAGTATTTTTAAAGAAATTATGCGATTTTCGTACATTACTAGTACTTCTGAATACTATTTACTTATATTCAAGATTAATATCAACCCCCCAAAATGGCACATCTGCTCCTTTAAATAGTCAAAACGATGTCATCGGGGATAGAGCCCATGGCAACCTTTTAAAAGAAACTTTTTTTTTTTCAAATGTGTCGATGTGAAAAGTACGTGCGTGCGTAATAAGATGGAGTAGAAATGCAGGTTGTCTGAAAGCAAGTTTGAAAGATTGATGGATGGACCAGTCTATATCTAGAAACTAATTAACTACTGTAGAAAGATAATTTTCTAAGATGTTTGACACTGACTGTTGCATTTCATTTTTTGAAACTGAAAAGGTTGAATGCCAGCCCCAGATCGACTCTCAACGGTACTGGCCATTTATATGATTTCTTCTTATTCTTATGGCAGATTTGAACCGACTTATCACTTAGCAGGCGACATTCAATCTTACCATATTAGCTATTCAACTATCAAGGGGGTGATCCACTGGAGCAGGCCTGTGAAATGTCTTATTTTTAATGAAAATCAAGCCCTCTAAATGCTCAAAATTACCCTGAAGACTGAAATCCATTGACTTCTGGGCCACTATAGCCTGTGGCAGGCCCCAGATCCTCAGCAATTTTTACTCAACAGGTATCAATATCGCAGAGGAAGGGAAATTCTATGAAATACAGTGGTCGATGATGCTAAAACAGTCGCAACGACCTGCGATTATCATCCATAAACTTCCTGTAATAAAAATATACATAATCAATAACAAATATTTTACAATATAACATAAAACACAGAATATTATTTTCACAGTTCGCTAAATAAGATATTTATACAAATAATTAAATAAAATTTAAATATAAATCAAGCTATATAGATGGATATGTTATATTACTTGATACAAATGAGTATATAAAATAATGTGTACATTACTAACCCTAAGTCATTTCTCATTAGATCTAAAAAAAAATTTATTTGCTTGAACTGATGATAACCTTATCTGAAAGTTTAAATTTTAGAATGCAAAAACTTTTTGAATGTCGCTCTGGTTTTTTTTGGCTGGCGTTAGAAAACTAATTAATAATTTTTGTTAGCAAGATGAACGCCAATTGTGGAAAAATATGTCTCATTCTGAAGTTTTCAACTAAACATCTATGACCATTATATATAAGGCCAAACACCAAAATCTACATCACCCGTTATTAAAATATATTCAGGTTGATCCAGTTGATAATAGAGAAGTAAATAGTATATTTTAGAAATCTGTTTATGTAATATCTACTATAACTGTTAGAGAATATGTATAGTTTCAACATATAACAACAATCAGTTCTTCTTAATATAGTCACCCAAAATTATAATTACCCAAGAAAAACTCAAAACACACATACCTAAAAAAAAGTTATTGTAAGAATGAATTGCTTGGTATATAGTGTAGAAAATTCTAAACTATTCCCAAAGATTGATATAAACCACTCTGTGTGGTATCCAAGCTCCAAACGGGACTGCAGGGGGGAAAATGATGATAACTCACCAACGACTGACTGGACGGACTACTCTGAAGACAGTTTAGCGATTGTCAAGTGAGACCAATTAAGTAAATTAATCTAAAGTAAAGATATCCCAGCCCTTATTTCTTACTTTATTCTGTAGTCAAGATATCCTAGCCATAACTTCTTGGTGTATTCTATAGTCAAGATATGTCAGCCCCTACTCAGTCAAGATTTTCCAGTTTATTCTTTCGTATATTCTGCATTTATGTTATTGGTTTATTCTGTAACCAAAATATCTCAGCCCAGTAATTTCCTTCCTATGGATTATATTGTAGAAGGAGAGGCCACCTATTCACTATGAAAAATGAAATGAAATGAATGGAATTTTATGTCCCACTTTTCTGCATTATTTGAAATGGAGGAAAGGTGACTAAATATTAAAATGGTTTTAGCATTGGTTTATCACGTTTTAATACAATATATATTCAAAAATCGTTTAACGAATTCATTTTAAACAAATGCTCTTTAACAGAGTGCTTTTCATAAGAAACGGTTTCATCATTTTTTTTCCAGGGAAATAAGTCGCGAATAGACGATCGATAATCCCTCATCGTACATTTCAATAATTGGCCAATAATTCGTCAGTGGATTTTCCTGGTGTCATTACTTTACCACAAATTCTCTGTTAAGGTGGGAATAGACGATGTACAGTGCCCGGTTCAGTGTACGGTGCGGGGTTATCGATACAATAGAAAATAGTAGAAGCGAATTGTGTCCTCACTCATACTTGTTTTATTTTCTATTTTCCTGTATCGATCATCCCACACCGTACACCGCACCTCGTCCATTTGCACCTTTAAACTCAGCAGAAAAGGCATTTTATTGTCATCTATCCAGAGGTTTTCGTTCCATGCTCTTTTTGGCTATGGAAAATAAGAAGTAGCCACTGACTGATACTCCAGGCCAATTTTCTGCACAGTTCTCTGAAGCGAGAAGCTTACACGTTCGATCATTGGTGGAGTGGCAAATGCAAAAATGGAAAATGATTTATAGCAAAATTATACAAAACTTTGTTTTTCTTGCCCTGCAGATAGTTGTCTGGAGGAAATTATTAGGTGTAATATTTTCAAGTTTTTCAGTTTGTTAAAATGGAGACATCAGACATCATATCCCCAGGGGTGATTACAGTATCGATCATATATACATAAAGATAGTCAAAAATGCTGTTTGCAAATTCATTTATTTCATAACATTAACAAGTCTGATGTCAGCAGGATTTCTCCTGTGATATCTACAAAAATATTCTTATTCATTTAAAGACTAGGATTCATATCTCTTTCTTCATTCACATAAAGTAAAAAAAAATCTTAGTTCCAGACCAAATCGTTAAGCAAATACTTTCTTACAACAAAATAATTTTACAGAAAATAGAACATTAAAGATACAATCCTTTTATATGTGTAATGTATCCAATGCATCTGTTATACTATCAGTTATATTTCCTGTTAACTTTTAATAATAAATGCTAGATTGACTGTAAATTTACACAATTTCATATTGCTAAAGTATACCCTTCATAAGCTCATTTAGAGTCTAATTACATCTAAATTGAATGTGTATTATGTCTTCAATGCGAAATCAGAGACCTGCATTTAGCAGTTTCAAATCTTTTATTTCACATTTCCCTATTATAATCAAATATAAGGATAAATCTTAACCGAGCACATTAAATGAAAATTGAAAATCAGATATGAAATATAAAATTTATCATGGCCTAACCCATTTTAGAATTTTTACTGTGATTTATTTCATGCATTCATTGGAAAATGGAAATATAACTAGTTCCGAGTTATATGGTATCCATTCTCCTCAATTAGGCACATCATTTAGGATTATTGATTTTCAGAGGCATATTGTAATACCAGGAATTCTGGCAACTTTCAGTTAATTGTCTCAGTTCAAGGGTATCAAAGTTGAGAGTGACTGTCACAAGCTATCCAGAAACTCGACAAAGATCTGTGGAGATGAGATTTAAATGCGTGAGAGTTGGTGTAATAGATTAGCTGGTAAAATGGCTTCCAACTTCTCAAGAATATAACTTAGTGGTAAATACAACCAACTCAACATCTGAAATAATAAAAAAAAAAAATTATCTTAAAAACATTCTGTTAACGAAATGTAATAGATTTTTGTATTTCAATAGTTCTATATGATTACTTTAAATAATTTGCTATATCTATAGTAACTATATCATGAACGAGTTTCTTAATGGTAAATGAACTTGGATGACATATTGTCATAACTTGATGAACATTTAAATGTTTAAGCTTTTCTTTCAATATATTACATACCGTTCTAACAACAACACCCATTGGCTCAGGATATTGATGAGTTAACAAAGCTAGGAGTGCAGTAAATGAACACAGTCCAGCAGTAAATAAAATAAAAAATGGCAATTCTTTCTTTGGATACACAGAGACTTCATGAAATGCTGAAATTAAAAAAAAATTGTAATTCACTGAACAATCATTTTCTATATTCTTATACAACACTCAGTCTGTAAATCTGTAATATCAATTTATAGTCTATTTTCTAATGGCTTATCAAACCAAAAATTTGTATTCTTAATAAGAATGTTTGTACTTACTGGGTAAAAGTTCTCTGTCTGTGGCCTCTGTACAAGTAGGGTAAGGATAAAATAAATGACCTTTTTCTAATGGGTAAGGAATCATTCTGAATGCTGAAAAAGAAATAATTATGCAAATTGACATACAGTTTTAAATATAAATTGTCTTCTTCATTGGTGCTGATTTGAGTCGGACAAACAGAGTTTAGAATTTGCAAGTAGTGCAGTTAAGATCATGGAAAACCATGGAACAATAAACAGATTACACATGTAGATAAAGGGCAGACATATAATACCACTGTCCTTTCAGAATAATTTTCTCTATTGCACACTGCATGACATGGGCAACTTCACAAGGCCTATTAAAAACTCAAATGTAGGTTGTCAATTAAGGGAGGTAATTATTCTGTAGCTTTAAGAAACACAGGGTTATGTCAGCAATGGGTAGATTCTGAAAATCATATAAATTAAACTTACTTCCTTCCCATGTACAATGTAATAAATTTAAAGCGCCTTCAACACGTTTCCAATGGTTTATATGAAAGAATGAATAGGCCAAAGCCTCACTGTCTCCTCTCTTTAACACATGTTCTGGTGGTAATATTAAACTTTTCATTTCTAATAAATACTGAAAATATAACAAATACAACATATGGTAATTTCTAATAAATACTGCAAAAAATTAAAAATCCAACATATGGTAATTTCCAAAAAATACTGAAAAGATAACAAATACAACATATGGTAATTTCTAATAAATACTGAAAAGATAACAAATACAACATATGGTAATTTCCAAAAAATACTGAAAAGATAACAAATACAACATATGGTAATTTCTAATAAATACTGAAAAGATAACAAATACAACATATGGTAATTTCCAAAAAATACTGAAAAGATAACAAATACAACATATGGTAATTTCTAATAAATACTGAAAAGATAACAAATACAACATATGGTAATTTCTAATAAATACTGAAAAGATAACAAATACAACATATGGTAATTTCCAAAAAAATACTGAAAAGATAACAAATACAACATATGGTAATTTCTAATAAATACTGAAAAGATAACAAATACAACATATGGTAATTTCCAAAAAATACTGAAAAGATAACAAATACAACATATGGTAATTTCTAATAAATACTGAAAAGATAACAAATACAACATATGGTAATTTCTAATAAATACTGAAAAGATAACAAATGTTCCTAAAAACTATTGGAATGAGTTAGCTGCTTACCTTTGGTACATGTGGATTAAACTCAACAGCTCTATGAATGGCTTCTACTGCTGTCATTTCTGCAGTACTTAAACCTCGTTTACTAGCAATATCTGGAGAAAATCTACAAACAAAAACAAATAAAGTTAAAACTGACATTAAAAAAGCTCTCATGGATATTAAAAGCTTGATGTAGGAAAGCATACAAACAACAACAAAATACTTTTCAATGTTAAATCAATGCTCTATATAGTAATATGTAGGGCGACATTAAAATGCTGTTCAGTTCTGTCTGAATTATTTTAGTATCTAAAAAACAGTGTATGTAATTCTAGAAATTCTCAAATTATAGTATCGGTTTGCTTTAAGTTTCCGTTCAGCTAAGCACAAGAAAAAATGATATTTAATTGAAAGAAAATAACTTATAATGTTACTTACTTATCTGCTACTGCTCTAGCTTTTAATAATGCTGCAGTATAACAAATTGTTGCTGATTTTGGTAAACTTATATCTGAATTAAATAAATGTATTAATTCATTCACATGGAATATGACACAAAAAAAATCTTATTAAATGTAATTAGCAAATGGCATAGAAATCAATTGAATTTAATAGCACATTTTTACATGTATAGGACCTTATTTTACATGGAATATTACTGAGTCTATGATGATGTAGATAGGAAACTTCTGCGACATGAAAAATCACATGTGATCCAGAAATTGGTTTGGCTAGTTATGCAGCACAATCTGCTCCAGGTAAAACACTTTAATCAGTGTGATTTCTTCAAGAGCATTTGATAACTCTGTGGTCCACTCATCTATTATTGTATTTACTAACTTACATTTTGTATATAGACAGTGCCCATCATTTTAACAAATAGAAGTGTAAGCCACAGGATTTTATAAAGAGAAAGAAACTAAGATACATACCATCATATTTTGCTAATAATGTCTGAACTTCTGAATACATCTGAGCTTCTAACAAACATTCTATTAAGTTTTCATGAATATTAAAATTCATAACTGGAAATTCTTTTAATAACTGGAAAATATTGAACAGAATATTGACAATAGTCACAGTAAAACAGTTTTGACATGCAGATACAAGTGAAATGTAGTTTCACATCCTACTTTATATGTTTTAAGTTGAGCTACAAATGTACATCCCCCTCTCTCTCTCTCTCCCAGACAGTTTTATAAATACATATTAACCTACATCTTTCATAAGTTTGATGGCCTCTTTTATTTTACCCAGTTTTCTAGCACACATTGCCAGTCTTCTTTTTATATACACAACTAAATTATTATCTCTTCCTGTAAGTAAAAAACAATGCTACTGAACACTAAACTTCTGATAACCTGGGCTGTGGCCTTGAATAAGAATTTGATGGAAGTATGGAATTTAATATAGAGAAAAACCATACAAAATTTCTTGTGAAACAGGACGATTGCAATGGATATGGAACAAATATATCAAGCTTACAACAACCAGACACACTATACGATATCAATCAATAGTCTATCACATATATAGGCTATAGACTTATAGGGGATAATTTTGCCAGGATAGTGGCATTAGCCTTCGTGGGGCCCTATTTTTTAGTCCCATTCAAACCACCACAGTACGAAAAATGTAAATCTTTTCAGCAAAACATTCCTATACAAGCTAATCAAAATTTTGTTTCATCAGAAAAAATATCATGCAAGTCAGTCAGTCAGTCAATGGTTCTACAAATAGTTGATAAAAATACTGATAAAATAAAAGACATACTATGAACTGATTCTTGTAATGGAGTTAAATGTTGAGAAGATAAAGGTTTCTTATAATTTCCTTCCACAATTTTATATGCTTGTTTAAATAACTTCTCTGACTGAAATAAAAAAACAACATATACTTAATATTTAGAATTAGACAAAGTGAGAAATCCAATCTATGGGATTCACAAGTTAGTTTTGACATATATTTTTGCCAAATCAAGGGCAGTAACTCAAAACTATTTCATCAAAACCCAACCATTATTGTAGTCTCTATTCAGCTGATTCATCGGACAGAAAGATGGTAATGACACTATACATCTGCATTATAATGTGTGAATTTAAAATTATAATAAAGCGGCAACAAACCTCTAAAATTGTGGTTGTTTCTTCTTCTGCTAACAATATCAATGCAGGTACGCATCTGAAAATATCATGACATTTTTAAGCTAACATCTTATAAATCAAATAATGCTATGCTTTGTTATATATAATGTCAATGTAGTATCTGAACTTTTATAAGAAACACCTCTAAACCAGCATTTATTGTCAGCATTTATATTGCTCCATTTTGGTGGGTTGATTTTAGACTTAAATATATGTAATTAGTATTCAGAAGTACTAAACATATACATAAATCACATAATTCCTTCAAAAATATTTCAAACTAGGAATTTTACTCTCTATTTCTATAAATGCCTTTTCTATATATCACAGAGTATCTTAGAATGACAAGTCGCCAATCTAACATTCAAATGTGATAACACAAAAGTATTTGAAGGTGAACACTATTACTGATTGGCTAAAAATTCCTGTTCTGAGATTCAGGTACGATTGGTCAAAAAATGGGGCACCTGTCCCTTAAGGCCCGCTGGGTTAGTTCTAGTGCATTATAGTGGCTTTGAGGTTTTGCACAAATATCTGACTTTTAATATTTTAGTAGAACTTTAAAAAATATGAGTAACCTGTTTTATTATAAAACAAAGCTTTAAACTTACTCTGTATTTTTCTCCAATGCTTCATGTGCAGCCTTTATTCTAGCCTGGGGATTCCGCTCTCTCCAAGCCATCTGCATTACTAAAATAAAAATATTTAACACATTTAACAAGTTCAGATGATTCATGGATTCAAGACTGTATTAAAAATCTAACAATGGCAGGGTAACATGGTACCATATAATTGCAAATATTGTGTGCAAAAATGTAAAATGGGCACCATTACTTCCAACAAATTAGGAAAAATCCATCTAACTTGTCAAATAACTTGTTTCTTGAATTTTACCTAGTATGAATTGTAAACAAAATTCAGAAATTTTTCTTACAAGATACATAAAATTAAAATTAAGAACACAGAAATATTACATTTATAACTTTTCATAAGAATATCTACTGATTTTTCAGCAAAATATATATTTAAAAAATATGGATAAAAAAGCATTATCATTGACTTACTTTCATATTCAGCCTTTCCAGCATCAGCTTCACATGTAAAAAATGTCTGATGATCTTGAGCCGAGAGATTCATATCATAATATGTTAATGGATCTTTATTAGTCGCCCACTGAAACCTTTGATACTCTGAGCCGCGGAAAAGATTTAAAGGATTCCGCCATAACTTACAATCTATAATGAAAAGTAGGAATTAGTCTACCACAACAGTTCAAAGCCAACAAATATGCTTTTAAAATGTCTGGGTAGACCAAAATTATATCCCTTTCATATGTATAATAATATGCCTGTTTCTGAACGCTGCTCACTATCATCTTACCACTTGTGGAAATCACAGGACTTCAGAAAAAATAAAAATTATACAGCAGTTGTGTGTCCATTTGCAGAATAGATTTAAATCATTTTTACTTTATTATGTATTGACTCGTGGTTTAATTTTTGTTAATATATTAATACCAACCCACCTGCTATAGTTTGTTGTTGTGTTGTATTTGTTGATGTTGAAGTTGTATTTGATGTTGTTGTTGTCTCATTGCTGTCTGATCCACATAATAATGGTGATATATGATTCAAAGACACTTGTTCTATAAACGATGTACCATATTTCTTAAAATACCACCATTCAAATATCTGAAGATAACAACCAATTATTTTCTACATCCCTCTATGATTGATGTATTTATTTTAACAATGGAATTATTTTTTTTATGTTAATTCCAATATTTAGTAGTCATAGGCTTTTAAATTTGCAGCTAAGAAAAGCCTTCCTGGTGCATTGAAGATTGGTTTCTTTTAGCATGCACCAGTGGGAAAAACAAAAAAAATCAATAAGCTTATTGAAAACAAAATCTTTTTGATGTTAATTATATTAATTTCCTTTCATCACATTAATTAATGGAAGGCACATTAACACTTTTAACGATGTGTGATTACTCTAGATTTATCATCTTGGCATCCCTTCAGTAAATCCAAATAATAATGTTATTCACCACATATCAATAAGCCAAGAACTCTTGAATTTAAAGAATTTTATTCTTTATCTTTTAAGTAATTTTAGTCTTAATACAATTAATAAAGGATGTTTTATCAAACAAAAGACTTGGTTCTCTTTTCTTTCAATTGACATTTCACACCACTTCATGACGTCAGCTCTGACATTTTATTAGTTACCATGGAGACAAGAAACTTTCAGTTTAAGACATTAACAGGAATGATCATGGTAATTACTGTGGAATTAAAGATATTCTTTTGAATAATTTATTAAGTTTGTCAGATGTCAATGTTGTATATAAATGAGAGTCCGGTGTGGAACGATTTCCTGTTTCTTTAAGGTGTAAAAATAACACAAAGAAACAAGCAGTATAGGGTAGTAGTCAGCTAACATTGGTCAGGAGTTCAGACCCAATGCAAATAATCTTGAACCCTAAGATCGCTGGCAAATTTGCGTTTTCAGGCATCTAATTCTCAAAATTTTCTTGTAGTGGTCCCACAGTCCCTATACAGATAAACCTTAAATTTGCCAGGAAATGTCAGCGACATCAAATTCAAAATGTCCCCCCAGAAGTACTTGGCTGGCTACAGGCCTGCAAACACAAGAATAATTTATCAAATAATATCATTAATAACAGAGATAAAAAGCCAACATGAACATGGAATAATGACAATTGAGGCCTGTAAATGATCTCTTATCCTAGATTAAATTCCACAAAGAACCTCTAAGCTTATACAATCGTGATATCAAACACTAAGGGTGTTCAAAGTTTGAACATGATAGAGAATTAAGGAAAGGGCGTTAATAAATCAATATGCTATCTGAGTATTATCATCCGCTATAATTATTCTGCTCTCCACTATCGAGTCTAGTGTAAAAGATATATAAGCTAAAATCAATATGAGAATAAGGAAAGCAGTATTGACGTCAGAGTCGCCTTCAACTTCTATCTTACGCCTTTTTCTTAACATCATTGATTTTATTCTATTAGTACAAACTTTGAATTTAACGTTTACATTGGAATGACGATAAGTAAAGGTCACTCTGATCTAAACAGCCATTAGGGATAAGGATTTAAATTCTGTATTTAGAGTGTGTCTGTTCTTAAACACCTACATACACAAAATTACATAAAAGATCTTCAAAAATAACCCTCTCTCTTATGGAAATTCTTATTATTACATGTACGTCATATTTGTTTCAATTAACACTTGATAATCAATATTTTGTATTTGATGTATCTAATATGATTATATATTCCTCTAACAATAAAACTATTGAAAAGGATGTATCGTCTATTTTCAGTATCATCTTTAGTTAATTAAAAAAACAAAAATGACCTGCAAGTAAAATCAGTTTTATATTCCCCACTTCTCCTTTACAGGCTATTCCCATGTCAGATTTTTACTCTACCTGGAAGCTCAGGGTTCATGCTCATGTGGCATGAATGACCAGCAATATGAATTTAATTTAATGACATTGACTTGTAATCTATACACTTTTTATACCCAGGTAGTCTTAGCCTTTTGAACACCGCATGTCAACAAAATCTCATACACCCTGAATTCAAAGTTTATAGCCTTTAAAGTTTATGACATCAACATTATATATATGATGTCACTTGGTAACAACTTCAGTAGCAAGTACGCATAACAAGATTTTGCTACTTGTTGGGTGGTCTGTGGTGTTGATCAGATCAAATCAACAGAACCCCTTTCTACTCTGTTCTCGAATCTTCTCTCATTAATATTTCAGTTATTGTCAATGAATACAAATGGAACAGATAGTCTATACTTACCAGAATAAGACCAGAAATAAGTGATGAGGTACCAGTCAAGGCAACGTAAAACTTGGGGGTTAAAGTATTCAAAAACATTGAGGCTGAAAATATATAATAATAGATATATAAATATTGGATCTTTAACATGGAAAATTATGTCTTTAATATCTGATATAGATGAACCCGATTTGATTGACATTACATTACATTTCATGACTTTTGGTGAGGTTATTATTATAAAATTCATGACTTTTGGTGAGGTTGATATTATAAAATTCATGACTTTTGTTAAGGTTGACATTATACAATTCATGACTTTGGTGAGATTGACTTTTGGTGGAAATTGCATGTCTGAGTTTGATAAATCCCATGTTAACTGAACTTAAAAGTCATGAACTCATTTAATATATTACAATATTGCTTCATAGTGCTTATGACCCTTAAACATAAATTTCGCAACAGTTTGTGAAATTTCAATATGCTGCCATTTGCAATTTTTCTTTAAGTTAGTCGTCTACTGAAATCCAGACAAAATTTATAAGCTTGTGCAATAATTGCACAGTGAATTTAACAATCTATCAAGGGAACATTTTTAACCAATATAAAGACAGATTTTTTCTTGTTACTTAATAGCATTTGTTAACAAAATGAATAGGTCTGAAATGCCATTTCCAACTTGGGATGTTGAGGATAGGGCAGAAGTCCATTGGGTCAGGATGTTTTGACCAGTTTGTTAGAACACTTTAATAGGGTGCTTGATCATCTGTAAATGAGGACATAAACCCTGGAAATGATAATAATAGTGCAACGGTGCATTATTTCAGAGCAATGTATTTAATGATTATATAAAATCGATAAGAGATTATCCTGTACTCTAATATTGTTGATAATAACACAGTAGTTGTCGCTAGAGGGTCAAATAGGGGTCAGGATAATCAAGACAATAGCTCGGAATACCATGCTGTGTTTGTAATCTAATAAGAGAATGTATTGTTAATTTAAGGCTTTCCTTTTTATATACAAAACCCAGGTATAACAGGGTGTTGATGATTTTTCTAATTCAAAACTCTTTATTCCTTTGGGATCGGTTATTCAGAAGTCTGAACTAAAATCAGAATTGCTGATACCTTGTATTCTCTATAAAATTGAGCAATTTCACATAAAATATAGCTTTTCATACAGTTTTATGGAATGATAATCAAATAGATACAGTATGGAAATCATTTCAGATGCCACTAATAGCAATTTACATCTCAAAGTGAGTGACATATCATCCATAAGCTAGCTATGATATATCAGTAGGAAAGCCATTTATATTTAAATTATTAATACTAATAACATATTCTAGCTCTGTTTATTATCACTTTATCTAATGAAACTACATTTATTATTCATGATTAAGAGTTTTGATTTTCTATATCCAGTAGTTTTAATATGAAAATGTGTAAAAACCTTTCCACCATATCTAGACTTCAATCACACTGTACTTCTAGTGACAAAACACTATTCCAATGCCAGACTTTTACAGAGATATAGATAGTGTAAACATTGTGATGTCATAGTTCATCTCTCACACACTCTATTACCCTTTTTACACCTTTTGTTGAGCTGCCAGATTCTGATCTGGTATGGCACCAAACTATAATATTTCAAATGTAAATGTCTAAGTATGCTATGCTTTGCAAAATTTGATCACAAGGTTGTACAGCAATCTACTCACAATAAAAATGGTGGAGCATCTTGGCGGCCAAGATCACCAAATATTTTGACTTTAATTACTACACTCTTTGGTTAGAGAGCAAACACTTCCTTCTGTTTAAAGTGTTGCTATGTAAGTGAAATGTAAAAACCATTTTGTTGATTTTAAACAGACGGTAATTATATTTTGTTGTATGGAAGTATATTAGAGTCAACAACATTTTGAATATGATAAAAAAAAATCAAACCACAGGAGACATAAATGTGAAAATGGACAGATTTAAACTTGGGTTCTGTTTTATAAATGAAACATAGTAGAACAACAATACAAGAAAATGTAAAAATCCTCATACTTACAATCATACATGTTTAAAGATTAGATTTGAATATCCAGTGTAATATATAGCGACTGTTTTCAGTCTAAATTACTTTACTCTTAACAGTTTAAATATCCATGTCACTCTTGTCTAAAATCACAGTGTTAAATAATATCTTCTTCCAAAGAGCAGATACAGCTATATATTCAAAACAGTTCTATGAGTCTATGATAGACTGATATAACAGATTTTCCTTGATTAATATTTCAATCAATTTTCTGCAATGGTATATATGATAAGGAACAAGAAATTAGTAAAGATATACTGATAAGAATACTGCACTAGAGTATCCTGAAACCAGTACAACCACTACAAAACAACAAACAAAAGATTTAAAACTGACCTCTACTTCTATTTTTTAACTCTTGTTCATTTTTAATCGTGATTGATTAATTATCTTCAAAGGGAAGTTTATCACACCTTTTCTAATCAGATATCAGAAATCCCTGAATCTTAACTGACACAAGCTGAGATGACACACCTAGTAGCAGAGTTGCATCATTTGTTCTGAATGATGGCCGTGTGCTGCCAGTCTAATCAAAATAGACCAAACTCTTTTATTAGCTTTTATTTTTAATATAACCACGTTAGTTAGGGACTAAAGACTGGCCTCTTAAACAATCTTCAAAAAATAAAATTTGACCTAATCTGATCAGCTTAAACCTATCAAATCTGTTTACTTTCTCACACAATGCCAGCGCTGGTTATAGAATAAATTTGATTGGTTAATTGAGGGTTCGTTCAAAAGGTTACTTTAATGAATGTTTAAGAGGCCAGTCTTTAGACCATAACTGAAGTGGCTATATCAAAAATAAAAGCTAATAAAAATGAAACAACAGTTTGATACAACAACAACAACAACAACAGTTGAATACAAATCCTAGATATACTTCCTCAAAGAATAGAACTTAGGATAATAATAAGTGTATAGAATTCAAACTTGTTTGAAGCAGAGATCAGTACCTATTGTTCAGGTAATCTTATACTGACAAGATCTCAGCTAATTAGTTAATTAGTAATTATCTTCATGACATCTGACATCAAAACTTAAAATAGAACATTTCAAATCATATAAGTTGGCTATTTATAAAATTCAGATATTGGATTTTAAAACATGATACATTAGTCTGTCAACCTAGAATGCTAGTGTTTTCAAGATTAGGGGTTTGATATCTGAGAAGAACTTGGTACTTTTTTGTTTACTAATTATTAGTAGTTACTCAAAATTTAAGAAATGTTTAAATATTCTATATACAAATCAATATAGAAATATTAAAACAGAACCTAAAAAACATGTTGTTGTTACTCAAACTTCACACAATACAATCACATAAGGTGAAATTCTGAGTAACAACATGTTTTTTAAGAATCTGTTTTAATTTCTATATAGCTCTACAATTGATGAGCACTTTTATAATAATGAAAATATTCTATTTTGTTGTTCTAATTTATCATATAGATTAAATTAATATTACAATTTCCACTATGTTAAAGGTTTATGCCAGGTTTGAAAACATATCATTCTTACAAACCTTAGTATGCTGTTTTCAAATTTACAATTAGAAATTAGTACCTTTAAACCAATAAGCATAAGTAATTAAAAATTTAAGAAATGTTAAATCTCCTAAACTAATAAATTATGTTAAGAATTATTGTCAAAATTTCCACTATCTCAAAGGTTATACCAGGTTTACGAAAAACTCTATTTACAAAACTGTCAGATACATAGAAATAAATTCCTTAAGTCATTAAACAGAAAATACTTCCACAAAATGTGTATTATATTTGATATAATATGAATTTATTGTCAACATCTGTTCACTGTAAAGTGGAAGGACAATAAAAATATTTGAACAAGCTTGAATAAATCACATAGTAATAGATTAGGAAATCAATATCAAAATATTTAAATACCAGCACTGCTTATAATACAATTTTTTTGTAAACAATGCCAAAACAGCTCTATGGCCTGGTGATTTCAATTAATTCATATCAACATGTTTCTTCCATATATAATTCATATATAACCAAATCAGGTATTTACTAAAATAGTCTATTAAAAATTCATATTTTATACCCATTTATTTATGTTTTATAGTTTTGTACTTTTTATAAAGTGGACTAGCATAAAACATTGGTATGTTTCTGAAATTTTTACAATTTTATGTCTTCAATCTACCAGTAATATTCAGTCAAGACTAATGTATTTAGATTTTTTTACTAATCAATATCAGATAGTGCTCAAAATAAGGAATATTATTTAAAAGAATAAATTTTTAAAAGAAATTTTAAATTGTGCTTTTGAGGGTCAACTTCTACCCAAGTACCGTAAGTTCAATTTCATAAAAAAACTATGTCAAAATAAAAAGTCTGGAACACAAATCTGCTCTTGTGCTTATTGTGAAAATTCACATGATCAACCTTAAACTTGCAGAAATCGCAAGAAACTTTGGGGAAACAGGAAACTGAAATAACCAAATGATGATAATCAATTGTTTCATGATCCATACAACAAACAGTTTTCAATATAATTCACAACAAGCTAAAATAGTACAGTACGTCAATACAACCAGACCTTCAAACTACACGAATATGACAGAACAGCATAATTGAAATTCTGATCATATTAAACTCAATAATCATCTATATAATAAGGTGAACACAATCCTATTGACTCACTGACTAATACTGTAGCACAATGTTTCTCATTTTTCCAATAAATTATTAAAAATCCTTGAAATGTGACCTTCACTTGTGGATGACGAGTTTGAATGTATTAAATACGGTTTCTAAGACTAGCTGATCTCACAAGCAGGTCGTTCCTCGTCAATTCAATATCAGTGTATTTCACAATGGACAGACAGAGAAAAATCAATACAGAATTCCTAGCAGGCATAATATTCCCAGCTAACTGGTTTTGTACTCATATTTATTGGAATGGCTTAATGAGTAGCCTGTACAGCTAAATAATCACAGAGGAGATGGGCTGGAAGGATCTCAGGGTAAATTAGGATAAAAAAAATCAATACAGAATGTCAAGTAGGCAACAAAGCAATGAAACAGAGATTGAACCATCAAATAAGCCAACAGAAAGACCATGATAAGAAAGTATACAAGCTAGAGATAAATGGGATCTGGGATCTTAGCAAAGGTCATGTAACCAGAACTAACAAAAGGGTGCAATTTGCCAAAAGCAGATAGATAAATATTGAAAAATCCTACTTATAATGGATTATTCTTTAATCTGTTTATCAGCTCATAACTTTTTCCACGAGAAATTTAATTTGTAATTTCTTAATATTATTTAGTCCTCTTATAACTAACTAAGGCAGTCAATGGATTCATTCTTTTGTGTTTATTATCCATAGGGGCCTAAATGTGTGTTCTTGATATACTATTTAATGTGGTTCTCTTTCACACACAGGTACTAATGATAGGTTCAGGAGACAAAACCTGATATAGTTGACTATAAATAGTACTGAGTATAATAAATTACTAAAAGTGGTAATTGTATGATTGAGAACTGGACATCCTATTGTAATAATAGTTTAGCCAGACTATGTCCAATCAATATTTCATATGAAACTGTTATCTTTCTAGCTGAATGGCACCTGGTCACAGATGCTATTGAAGGATAACTATATCTATCAATTTAATCTGATAACTGTAGACAGAATGGGCACCTTTATATTTGTTTATAGTCTTCAATATAGTGGCTCTCTATTTTCATGAAAATTGAATGCCATCATGGTAATCTCGTTGAAGACATTTTAATGGTCTTTCAATGGCTTTAAAAAAAACTAGCAATAAATTCAGAATTGTGGAATAAGATAAAATCAATTCATTTATTTTAGCATAAACAGAAAAATGGTGTTTAAAGAAATAAAATACAAAACAGTAAAAAAATTATATTTTCTTTTCAAAACCAATTAAGCAGAACAGAACACCTTTGATGGTAATCATAACAAATAAATATTTTGCTTTTAAATCATAATTCTACTTCACAATAAGCTTCAAATCTAATGCTTTACTTTAATTTGTCACTTTTAATATACTGAAATAAGCTGAAGGTTTGTAAAGCCTGTCGCAGACGAGAGAAACTAGCTGAGCTGTCTGTCTCAAGAGGTTTGGGAGCTGAGCTATTTCCCCCCGTGTGCCCTGAATTGTTAGTGAGATTTCTGCCTCGAGAGGCTGAGAGGAAAATATCTATCTCAAGAGGCTAGAAATTCACCATGGGCGGTCGTCTTAGCTGCCAGCTGAGCTAGAAAAAGTAGCTGACCAATAGAAACGTTTATTCTGTGACATTCCAAAACAGGGAAATGAGGTAATTTTGATCAGTTATATGACATGGTTGTTATCGTTGACATCCTGAATTGGCTGAAGATTTTCTAGTGAGACAATCGTTCACACGAGAGCTCTCGTCTGCAGTAAAAAAAAAGCAGTGAGAATGTTGCTCGGCTGACAGCCTCTAGTCTCAAGGCTAGCAGCTCAGCTAGTTCCCCTCGTTTGCAGCAGGCTGAAGGTTACAAAAAGTCATTTTTTTACTTTTCGTTTGTTTACCACAGAAAAGTTTGGTATTTTCGATAGTTGATAAATATTATACATCTTTGTGGTCCTAGGGAACTAATTTATTGTCAAATTTGACTGAACATCTATAAACATCAATCATAAATAAATAAAGTTTGGCCTATAGGAAGCAGGCTTTGTATTTAAACAATAAGGTTCAAAGTATACAAAATAAAGTTCTATGAGTCAGATTGTACATGCTCAGATATAACAAGCATATTGAATTTCCAAAAAAATTACAGGAAAAGCTTTCTTAATACTTAATGAAAGAAATTGTTTTGCTGGCCTGTTATAAGCTTGTGTGTATAGCTTTCATAAGTTTAGAGCAATATATAAAAATATCAATATCACATGAACTGGATAAAGATCACAATTATATAAGTTTCATCAAAATCAGATCAGAAATGCATTCAAAGTGAATTATAGAAGGATTGATAAGAAACAATAAACTTATACTTCCACATAAGGGCTTGTATAAATGGTGATTTATTCCATTCTTATTTACATTTACATACTGATAGGCTCTTGAGGAAAAAATTATAGCTTAATTGTTTTTGATGAAAATATTTAGATATGATCAATTTGTAGATATTGTTAAAGTGCGGAAATCAAGACCACACTCTTGAGACCTACCCCAAACCAAAAGCTGGAAATGTGCTATTGTCATCCTAATATTGAACTCTTCCACACATGCATTATTTTTTCAACACTAATATGTGTGGTTCAAGTAGTGAATGTTTTTGTTATAAAAAAAAATTTTAATGATGATCACTAGTAAAAATTAAGACCCCAAAATTTGAAAACCTTTATGACATTTGCACAAGAGTTTATATCTAGAGGCGCTTGCCTTTTTGATGAATAAGCATTTGCAAATTGGCGCACGGTGGAATTGAAAAACAAACAAAAAATTTGAAAAAATGTTAATTAACGTAAAATAAGGGATTGAAATGAAAGCTCCATTACACAAACTATAACAAAGGAATGTTTGATGTATAATATTAATGACTAGTGGTGGGGGTTCAGAGGCTTACAAGTTCCTCCCATAGTGGTTCACCCCCTTTACAATTTTCACCAAAATCAGCATTGTTGAACAAGTCAAATTTGAATAATATATTATATCTATCTAAGAATAACAATGCAATTTATTTCAATGGCTTCATATTATGCTAATCCACCACAATAATTGATAAAGATTAACAGGTTTTTAATTAGTTTATTACATGTTAATTTGGGGAAGAAACCACTAGGATCAAAAAGAGGTGGGATCTTGTAAAGGGAGGAAACCACTGCCGGTTCAGAGAGCATTTGCCCCCATTTCTAAAAAATTTATAAATTGAACATTCCTACATTTTTGCTCTACAATATGTGTCAGACAGAAAGCACCTAATCAATATTTTCTTAAAATAATTTCTTGAAGGTGAACCCTCTCAGATAGTCCATAGGAGGTTAGCATCCATGCGCTTCTACGGAGCTGCCCCAATTTGAATCTCAACTTTGATGGTTGTCCCTCTATTTTGTCCGTCTATTCAAGTCATGGGAGGCTGGTACTGCTATTGCAGTATTGGATAAGGTACGGATTCACGGTACATTTATTTTTATACAGTATTTTAGATTTTACTGCTACTATAATTGCAAGGTAAGAGAAAATAGGCTCAATGATTTACTCAACAACCTCTTCAACTAAATTGATATCACACACAAATAATTTCCATGCCTTTATGTTATGAAATATGTATCAATTTGGTACATTTTTAAGGAGGGGGAGGGGATCTTGCAAAGGTAATTCGGTCTCATTTACACGAACTGATTTAAATTCTTGTAAAACTTACTTAATTTAAGTGGCCCTCTTAAGATGTAAATTACAAACATAACAAGAATAAACCAAACAGCCCATAAATATGTCCAGGACCACGCTATCCAAGATTTTAATTTCTCAAAAAATCTTGACAGGAAGCCAGCCATCTTGGTAATCAGAACCGAGGAAAAAACAAATCATATTATTTTCGTGACTGAATTTTTTTTATTCCTTCGATTTCTAACTAATGTATATCCAGATCTTTGTAAGTAGTAATCATGAGTTTATATTTGAAAAATTAATTTTAGAAAGATTATCACCAATAGTAAGCGCAGGATTTCTATCGATGCGGACTAGTTAAAAATGGTGGAAAATTTAATTTCAGATTTGTTTATTTCTGGGAAATAAAGTTATAAATATGTTTATATGATTTATAATTTATTTGCAGATAGTGACATTAGGCCTATCACTAATAGTGATACAGGTAACTTAAATCTAACATACACTTGTGAAACAAACTGTTGCAGACACCTGATATTTTCTAATAATGAGCTCTTTCGCAAATATTTTGAATCAATATACCAGTCAGTGAATACTAATAAAAGTCCACGGCAATATCTCGTTTTACTTTCACTTTCACTATCTTTAATATTATTTATATTAGATTATTAGGCCTATTACTATATCAATTCATTTATATTTGCTCAAAAGGTCTGCTTGTTTCTGAATTGATCATTATTATAATTAGTAAATATACTGTGTTAGCTGATAATTTGAATGAAAGAAATAAATATTGTTTTAATCAACAATCAACTCCAGTAATCACCCAAGGTCCTAAGACCAATTTGATTATGTGAAACAATGCGTCATTTCTGGGTGTAGCAATCAAAAAGCCTTGCAAAGAAAAACGATAATTTAGCTGTCATTTCACTGAAATATATATCGACATTTTCCCATTTCCTTTTCATCCGAGGCATTAACTTATATGTGAAATGTTTTGAGGCGCTAGTCTAGATTTACTTGGCAGGTATTAATGCAAATCATTTTTGGTTCTCAGCCTAAAGATGTCTTAGTTAAGAGTAAAAAGCATAGACAATTCTGTTAATCAAAATCTTGCATTACCTTATGCAATAAGGTAATATTTGCAATATTGCAATACCGAGAGTAAAAGTTGTATAGTAGTGAGAATCAGATCAATTTATGCCTGACCACAAAAATCAGTCTTAGATAACTTTGCATAATTGATAAAAGTAAGAGCTTTTTAAGTTTTGATGTACTGGTACTGGTACTAGCCTACAAAAATAGTTTCTTTCTATAGATATTAATGTCCTAATTGAATCAGTTATATTTTTCAGAGTTTTAGCCTATCTAAGCTTTAAATTCATTAAAGAAGGCAACCCATGATGTTTGGTCAACAGAATACATTTGGCACCCAACCATCTGGAAGTGGATTTGGATCAGAAAATAAAAATGTATTTGGAACTGGAATAAATAATCAATCTCCATTTGGATCCAGTGGATCAGGAGCCAATAATCCATCCACTTTTGGAACAAATCCAGCTTCTTCTAATCCATTTGGTGTTCAATCACCATCTACACAAAATGTACCCATCCCAGTATTTGGAAATTTTGCCTCAAACAATCCGGGTACTTATGCTTTTGCATCTTCAACGCTTTATGGAACTGGAACTGCAATAGCATCAACACCTGTCTTTGGAGTTTCAGATGGTTCATCAGCTTTTGGAAATAATTCTTCCTCTACATTTGGTGCAGGCATGACACAAACATCTCAAATATTTGGTAGTGGGGTTCCATCAAGTTCTGTGTTTGGTGGTCCCACAAATATCTCAGCAACTTCTGGATTGTCAACTGCTACTCCATCAGTATTTGGAGGCCCAACCTCTATGCCTACACCAGCGACTTCTTTAACATTTGGAACACCAGCTTTTGACACCCAGATTCCAAACCAGACTGCTACATTTGGACAGCAAACTTCCAGTAACACATTTGGAGTAAGCTCAGTTCCCAAAATTTTTGGAACAGGTAACTCTGCTTTGCCCAGCACTGCGGTCTCTCATACAGCACCAATATCTACAGGATTTGGTGCAGGAAATTCAGGAACAGCAAGTTCTGTTTTTGGTGGAATTCAGGCTGACACAAAAAAAGCAGAAGGTTAATTGATATTTATTTTTCATTTGAAATGTTAGGAAATATTGATTGTCTACATATCACTTGAAATTCCTGATCGAATTATATTTAAGTCCTAAAATAGCATAGTTAGAGAAATATCAGGTAGAAAATTTGTAACTTTCACTCTTAAATAGTATTTAATCAGAGTCAAGAAAGGAAAGCAAAAATGACATTATTAAAAAAGAAATTTGAATTCAATCAAAAACATTTTGATTTTTTGTATTTTTTAGTGCCTTCTACAGTATCTTCAAATATTTTTGGTGGAATTCAGACTTATTCTACGGCAGGATCTGACAGACTATTTGGTAAATCACCTAAACGAGACACTCCAGAAAACAGTTCTAATCAGTTTGACATTCCTGGCAGCTCAAATTCAAATGTATTTGGGAAACCATCAAAAGCAGACTCCAAAGATAATGTGTTTGGAAAATTACAAACCTCGACTTCAAATATATTTGGTCAATCAACTAGTCAAGATGTGAAACAGACATCTGAAGCTGGACATGTTGGATTGTTTGGTAAAACTATTAAAGAAGAGGTGCAAGAGACAAAAATATTTGGTAAATCGACAGAACCGGGTGAAATAAGAGAGAAGAAAGAAATTGATAGAGATCAAGGTATTGCCATGTATTCTGTTTCAATGCAGTCTTTATGGTTGCCATTTTACCTAATGTCCAATTTAAACAAATTTGCAATGGGGATATGTTATCTTGCTGGTCAAGCTATCTTCTATATTGATATTGAATACTGTAAAGTTAATTTATAGGTTTGCTATTCCTTTGTGAAGTTGAATCTTTGGACTATTTTCAGGTCAATCGTCTAGTCAGAGAGCATTGTTTCAAGAAGAGGATCAACTCAGTAGAAAACGAGTTATCAAACGTGAACAAGATGGTGGTAAGATACACATTGTCATTCAATTGTTTATTTTATTCCGTCATAAAGAATGTTACTTGTTATTTGGTAATTTTCTGGTTGCAGTGAACACTTATTTTCAAATTCAAATACAAGATGACTAAACATAATAAAAATTGGAATTACATACTTTTCTTTAATCTTGGCTATAAATCAGCTTTTAAGAGTTCCTCTTTTCCATATTTTAGTTCAGGATAAAAGAGGAAGGAATTTATTTTCCCGTGCCACCGCTGGTGTTTTTGGTACAGGAAGAAGAGAAGGTGATAGAGAATCTAGAGCATTAAGAGATAGAGATGTGGATTCTAATAGAGATAGAGCAGTAGAGAAACGGAAGGAGATGTTTGATAAATATCATAAAGATGAATCTGGTCAACATGAAGAAGATAATCGTTCTCAATCTAGAAAGCGTAAAGAAGTACCAACTGGTCCTGGAAGATCTGAAGGTTAGTAGACTTTGGATGTTCCAAATGTTTTTTTAAAATGTTTAAATTGATGACATTGATTAAATGGTGGGTTCTAATCTTGGTCAGCATGTGAAATTCTGGTAACCTTGAATAACTTTTTTTCAAAATTCCAACGAACCCATCTTTAGATGGTCACAAATAATCCTGTAAAGATCAATGCCAAGAAATTTAGTAAGAGATCAGGGATCTTTGTGAAGTTACTTTCCTTGTTTAAAATGGTTGTTTCCTTCTTTTTCTGTTTCTGTTTTTTTAAACTACTCTCTTTTTTGTTGTTACTTGCGCTCATTCTTTACTTTTGTGTGGGTAATTATTATAAGCTTATATATCTCACAAATCACTGTCACTCTTGTCTTTTAGAATCAAAAGAAGATTCTCGCAGATTAAGAATACGTCGAATGTCATCTGCAGTTGAAGATATTGACCAAAAAGTAGCTATTGTAGCCAAGGATATACCAGCACGGTTTAATAAAGTACCTAATTTACGTAGACATTTCAGTAGATATGGTGTTGTACGTAAAGTTTATCCCAATATTAACAAGAATTCAGCTACTATACATTTTGACAATCATGTAAGTCTGAATACATCATAGAATAAGATAGTCCTGTTTCAGTGAACTTAAGGGAATTTGACTCTGTGAATTGGAAGAAACTTTGTGTATTGCCTTTATTACATAATGTATAGTCAGCCCAAGCCAGTGAGAATTAAACCCCAGCAAACCTTCTTCAATTCAACTGAGATTGATTAATTTGCAATGTTTTTGTACAAATCCAAAATGATGAATGCTTCAAACATACACACAAGCAGTCACTGTGCTCATGACTACTCCAAACTCTTAAAAGCATTAAACAAAACTGTTTGTGTTTATGCTTTAATCAGACCTGGAATAGCTTTGCTGGACTATATATTTGAGAGGTTGAAAAGTTGAAAGACTTGTAATTTACTAGTATAAGACTACTAAATCTTGTTCTATTTTCCAGGATTCTGCTGTTAGTGCTAAACAGAGGGGACATAACTTTGGACAATCTAGACTACAAATATTTTGGAGTTCCCATAATCCTACACCCCAGAAAGCATCCAGTCGCCCTTCGACAGTCAGTTCACCAGACGATTCTAAACAAGGTTTGGCTGAAATATTGATGTTTCTTTTTTTTTTTTTTTTTTAGATCTTTGCCTTTCTATCATTGACTTTCATTTGTCATATTTCAAAACAGGACATAAAATGTCTTTAAGACCACAGGGTAATTCATTTTAAATGTCTTCAGATCAAGCTTACCAAATAGACATACTCCAGTAATTCATATGCCATCATTTCCATGTTAAATCTCAAAATTCAACCTTCCATATTTTTTACTGAAAATCTTGTTTAAAACACTTCAATATGTCACATGAAAGCCTGGTCTATACGTAGTTTCTGGACAAAAATTCAATATATCATGACCATGAAAGTCTTGAACTAGTCAAACTGAAAGTAGACCACTACATTCTACTATGTTGACTGTCAATGCACACAAAACAACTATTTTTAGAATTATCCTTCTGCTTGAAAATCTCTCCTCATCTCACAAAACCTGAAAGAAAATGCAAATTCGGACATCAAATTCCAAATCTAGTCCAGGAATTAGTCAAAAATAGGCATGAGAAATTTTTTCATATAGATACACCAGCATCTCCTAACAGAAGAAGTAGATGGGAGACGAGTGATGTTGATGATGAGCTAGCAGGAATGGCAGGGACATCTGATATAGCAGGAGATAATGTGAAAGATTTAAAACGTCCTAAAGAGTTCAAAAAACAGTCTGAACCAAGAGAAGTAAAGAGACATGCTGAACCAAGAGATGTAAAGAGACATGATGAAGCAAGAGAAGTAAGGAGACACGCCGAACCAAAAGCCAGATCTCACTCACCAAAGCCTGTTACTGGTAGAATCTCTCCATCAAACAGCCCAGTCAAACCTAAGAGTGATAAAGGTAATATTGATACAGATGTTGGGTAGTTTAATGTGAATTTCAAGACTGAAAAAGGTCAGAGGGGAAATTTGGAATGGTGCAAATTGATGCTATCTGTGTCTTTGATGCACTTAAAAACCTTTTAACAATCCTTCAAGTTTTAACTCTATTGTTATTTTCAGTAACATTAAGCTCTCTGTTTAATACTGTATGTAAAACAGTGTGGGAGAAGAAAGAATTATTAGATATGAGAGATAAATTACTCAGACAAGCTGGTCAGTTTTTATTTTATTCTTTTTATATTAATTAACTTAATTTTAAATTGTATAAAGATAATTTATAATGATAGTTCAGAATTAAGAAATGACCTTGTTATATTAGAATTTGAATCCATATGTAAGATAAAAGAATTTTGTAAATAATTTGAAATAACATGAGACATGTTTGTTATGGTCTTATAAATGTGGCAATTTTTTAATTCTATATGATATTTGTATTCTCTAGGTTCAGGAGATAAGAAAAAGAGTGATCTAGCCACAGCAAAGGCCTTTATTGGCACCTGTCCTGATATGTGTCCAGAGAAAGAACGATATGATAGACAGGAAACACGACGTTTGAGTATTTATGAAATGATACCTGGAACAGAAAATATTGTAAGTTGTTACAAGTTTTGGGTTGAAATTGAAGTATTTTAGTAAAACAATATGAGTGTGTAAACATAAAAATTTCCAATAAATTTTGGGGTAACTGTTACAACTATATTTGTAAATATTAAAACAGAACCTGAAACATGTTGTTACTCAGAGTTTCAACATGTATCAGGTTCTGTTTTGATATTTCTGTATCACTCTAAAATATATGCATTTCGCAATAATTTAACAGTGAAAATATTTTGTTTGATCTATATTTTATATCTTTCAGCCTAATCAAACCCCACAAATAGATCACAGTAGAGCAGTGAAAGAATACAGTCGTTCTTCCGCTGATCAGGTTGGTTTCTTCCTTTCCATTCATTAATTACCAAGCTGTGAGTAAGCCATCTGCTCACTTACCCAGAATCTGAAGTTCCAGGCATAGATTTTATTATCACCTTCAGAAGTTCAGATGTTTAAATAAACATGCTGTAGATTCCTCTAGCAGATTAGACACTACATTACAAGGCCAGTTCTAATTATCCCAATCAGGTGTAGAAAAGTAGGATCCAAACTCCATTTCTTTCCACTTCTAAAACAATGGCATGAAACAGATTTATCTATACTTACTGAATTCTGTAGTTATATATATTTAAATAGTTTTATGTTCCATTATGTTTTTAGACTGAACCATTACAACATGAACTTCGACCTGAACCTGTATTAATGATGACTATGGCATATTTATTACGTGAAATAGCTGATCGGGGTGAAGAAGAACGATGGGCTGATTGGTATGATTTTCTCTGGAATAGAACTCGTGGAATCAGAAAGGTAAAGCAAATGTTATCAATTTCAGATGAAAAAATTCTTTCTATATGTGTATATATTTTTAAGTCAAGTTCAGAGCGTTTACTTTGTTTCTTATTAGATGAATTCATTTAATAAATACAGAGGATACTGACATGTCAAAAGCTTCTAGTTGAACAGTTGGAATTTGAAAAAGAGAAGGCTGTCCTGACAAAATTTCTTATTTCATCATTAGCCCAATTAGGTGCAGAAGAGTAGGACATAAAACTTTATACATTGCATCCCTTTAGTAACTGATATTTAAAAAGGTAAATTCTTGATGACTTTGCTTAGACAGGGCATTACAGACTGTAACTCGTATTGGAGGATTTATTTCATGTTTATTTTTCTAGGATATAACTCAACAACAACTATGTAACAGAAATGTGGTAGAACTGATAGAGAAATGTGCTAGATATCATATTTATTGTTCACATCGTCTATGTGAACAAGATATGATGGTATTTGACAGTAAAATAAACAATGAAAATTTGACAAAGTGTCTACAGACTTTAAAAGAAATGTATTATGATTTAGAGAAGAATCAACTTGTTTTCTGTCCAAATGAAGCAGAGTTTCGAGGTTATATGGTTCTTATGAATTTAAATGAAGGTGATACATTGAGGTATGAGGTTCATGTTTTTGAATCTTTAAGTGATTCGTTTAATATGGTTTTAGATTACAGCACACATCTTATGTTTATTGTTGATTTAAATAAAAATCCCAACATTAAGACAATTCTGTTAATCAAAATGGCAAAGTCGAGAGTAAAAGTTTAATTGTAGTGCTCCTCAAAAGGGTAAGCATGGTCTGCTTTGGTTGCGACAACCACCACTACTATGAAGATCAACATCATCAGATACAACCAGAAAAATCTATGTCTAAGTCAGCTAAGATGCAAGAAACAGATTTGTCATATTTGTCTGGAAGTTTGTTTTTCACTCATGAGATGGATAAGACTCTTCGATGTGCATGATGCTTTAATATATAATTTTTATTTTGTAGAGAAGTTCAAGAATTACGTCCAGAGGTTCGTGAGTCAGCAGAAATAAAGTTTGCTTTAAGAGTATACTCAGCTTTAAACAGCCACAACTATGTTAGATTCTTCCGTATGGTTAAACAGGCTACATTTCTTCAAGCTTGTATCATACATCGTTATTTTACACAAGTTAGAAGTCGGGGATTAATAGTTCTGATGAAAGCTCTGGGGAAAAACAATAGGGTAAGAAAACTAATTGGTTTATTAGGGTACTACTGTAGAAATTGTCAATGGAATTGCCATACTTTTGAGAGTATAACAGATAAAAGAATGCTCAGAAATATTCTAGGAAAAAAAATCATTTTTGCTTGAATTTTGGAGCCTAAGTCACATTCATTCATTGAATTTGAAAGTTTGTGTGTAAATTGTGTTTGTAACAGTGTTAATAATGTCTTGGATGCGACAATATTTATAACAATAGATAACTATATAGTTGAACTGCCCTTAATTCTAAAATTGAGCTGATTCAGTTCTTAGTTTATACCAAAAACAAAAAAAGTAACTTGAAAACAAATTAATAGGAAAAAAAACTAAATATACTAATATTTTTCAGTATCCTCTATCACACCTGAAGAATATATTTAGTTTTGAGAATGTACTGGAAGCTGAAAGGTTTTGTTCGTATTATGGTTTTATATCTAAAGATGAGTATGTAACTATAGATAGTAGAGATTTTATGGAACCGGAAGTGTCTGTACCTCCAACACGTTCAATATCTCTGATAGAATCTAAATTACTAGTTCCTGTAGGACAGGTTAGGATATACTTTATGCCTTTATTTCATTGTCCGATTAGGATTAGCTATGTTGCTGCAGGAGCAACAAAATTGTGGACAGTCTCAATCAAAATTAATGCATTGTTGGCATCATTCACTGAAAATTCTTTCTTACTGTTTTAATTGAATTATTGAAGTAGATTGACAGCTAAAACCCCAAATTAGGAACCTGACCCACATTTCTCAAAGATTAAAAAAGTAAAGTAAAGTTAGTCACAAGTGTGCTATTTCTCATGAAAATAAATGAATACTTATTGTAGGACAAAAACTCATGGTAAGATTTTCTGAGAAGATACTGTCTGTTAGAAATAAAACATACTTAGTACTTGTTATGATGGGAATAGGTTAGCATGAAGTCAGTTATATATTGAGTTTATCATCTGAATATTCTAGATAATTAATGGTGAAGAATTACCACAGTTAAACTTACCAGTACCAGTCAATAGCTTTGATCAAAATGGTAAATTTATCTCTAAATCAGAAATACTCAAAGAATGTAAGTATCTATGTAGGTTAAAATCCTTTTGCATGAGTTTTTTGGAAAATTAAACTTAACTTGATAAAAATGCTGTTGATTTTTAGGAATCTAAAATTAGGACATAGCAGATGTCCTGGAATAAGACATATTTCTATTCAATCAATCAATAACCATTAATAATCTGAATTCATTAAGACAGAAATAGACACTGCTAATCATTATTCCTAATTCCTATTCAACATCTAAAAAACCATTCCCAATATAAATGAAGATCTCACTTTACATCTATAATATTGATGTTTTGTTTTCTAGTGGATATAAATGTTAAAGGGGTTCAAGAGACATCAGTAACTGTACCTAAACAGTCAACATCTAGAGATCCTAGTCAGTCTTCTTCTACTACATCTCAACAAATAGAACCATTATTGACAAATAATGTAAGTTTCTTTGACAAATCCAATTAATTATTTTATTGCTTGTTAAGCTATCCGAAGTTAAAAAAAATGAAAAACATCTGACTCTTCTGCACCAGAATGGCAATGCCATCTATGGTTTAAAAGGGACATCTTGCAAGGACCGTGGTATTAGCCTACTTTTTAGGATCTTAAACATGCACCGCCCGGAGTTCACACAGCCTTGATTTATTTCCATATCTGAGGACTAGCTTTTTAAAAGTCAGTTCCGCTTGCCTCCATCACTGACAGGTGAAAACCCCAGTTCTATCTACCTGGACCTTCAGATTAGTGACAACTAATTCACTGAGTCAGTGCAGCTCTCTGTCTGAATTAGACACCTTTTGGTTTTGCTGTCGCCAGATTGAAGGTACATGATGAAAATAACTATATATAGCATATCAGTAAGCATATGACTAAATATTGTTTGGAGTAGTTCTTCTTTCAAACTTAAAATCCCTATATATTTTTATAATTAGAAATTTTTATTTCTGTATTTAAGGCTGTGAAGGGTGTAGCTAGAGACTTATTTTTAGAAGTTATAGCAGAGTATGTCAAAGAAATTGCTAATGAACCAATACAAGTTTATAAAGCTTTACTACAGACAGGCTTTATCATTGGAGGAGAAATACTGATAGGAGAACAAGACAAGATTATCAAGTAATTATAATAACCCAACTTTTAACTCAGATGGTGAAACCCAAAGAGACTATTTCTGTTATACATTTTCTTGATGACAAACCGTTATTTTCCATCAGAAATTTGTCTGAATATTTCAGTGTCTGGATTGTTTGGTAACAAAGCATTATTTTTTATTTTATCCAGAGAAGTTTGTCAAGATGTTCTAGTAGAGATACAAATAGGCCAACAGAAAGCCAAGGAGAAAAAAGAAAGAGAAGAACTTGAACAGAAAGCAAGAGAAAGAAAGGAAAAGCTGAATAAAATGGCTGAGGATTGTTTAAATGATTTAATTATTGAAACGTGTAGTGAAGAAAGCACAGATATTGCTAACATTGAATTCAGGTGGGCTATTTTTATCTTTTTTTCCTTGAGAAATGAATAAATCATGTGGTTAACTAAGCGTCAAGCAAATGTAGACCTTCCTGCCTCATTCTCTTACCGATCTATATCTTTTTTTTTATTTTAGAATTGTCCAAGACAAACTTCATAAACAGAGAGTTGGGAGATGTAGCGAAACTTTAAAAACTGAATTGTTGTCAGAGGTTATATCAGAAATGGTTGATGAAATTTCAGCGGAAGTTTATGAGAAAGATGTGGTGCTGAGACTAGAAGAACTGTGTGATGCAGAAAAAGCTGTAAAATTAAAGCGTTCTTCTGCTTTCTTTCAAATTTGGAGAACATCATTTCAGGCACAAGTCAAACTGAAGAGAGCAATGTTGGCATTTCCTTGTGGACCCTCTGTAGCAGATACCAGATCACAAATTCAGAGTTTGTTACCAGAACGTAAAACAGCTCATCTCTTCAAAAGGACAATGTTTGTGAGTCAGAGTTCACGATTAACTCTGGAGTCTGCTACTGATCTAGAGCACCGCAATTTACTTCTGACAGCTAAACTCTCTCTAGTTTCACTTTATCAACAATTACAGTTGTTAAAATCACGACAACCACTAAACATTCTACGTCTTATTCAACCAGAGTTACTAAAAATAGCTCACAAACCAGTTGTGACTATTGCAAATAAAGAACACCATGTGTCTTGGAAATTAGTGTTATCATTACCAGATTGTTCTATGAGCAGTCACAGCACTAATGAATTCTGTAATTGGTTGAATTCCAAGTTCAAAAGAGGTGTGATCCCAGACTCATTAATAGATGATTATCAGGTAGCATATTTTATACTTTCAATTTCATGTTGTAGCTGGGAGTTTGTAATGTAGAAGCTATTACTATTAATATGTTGAACTTCCTATTTATTATTATTATTCATATCAGATTAAATGCTTAGTAACTTTACATTCATCCTCATTTTCATAATAAACTTTCTGTTTTAGGGAGAGATATTAAGTCTTTATAATACAACCATAAGCAGGGGTGAAAGTAAACAGCCCTTACATTTTGGTGTCTGTGTTCAGAGTATAAGTGGAACTCTTCAGGAAGATGAAGACAAAGATAATAATCGTGTATTGTTGGGATGTGGAGGACTGTTATTTGTTCTGCCTCTAGAGCTTGGCAATACTTTCAATCAGGTGAAACTTTGTTACTGTTGACATGATTATTTGAAATAGTGGATTTATGGTAAATATTTGCTACAATTTATGAATTTCTTTCTAGTAAAAAGTTCTAATTGGTTCTTCAAATGATTATACCAGGTACTGTGTCTGTTTATTTATAAATCATATTTAATTTTTTTAAGGCTACCTTATGGTCAGAATGTTTACAACGATTAGCTAATTTGATAGAGACTAAACCAATGTGTCCTAGTTTACCATTGGTTGTAATCTGTAATTCATCAACCAATGAAATGATAGATGTAGATGAGTTATATGAGAAGTTGAATATTACTAGTTATATTGAGGAAGGTTTGGTATCTGATGTACATATTATGGTTATTCAGACTACAGGTCAAGGTCAGGTCAATGTGGAAGATGTTTCCATCACAAATCAGGTAAAGTGAATTTATCAATTTCTAGATTACATATTGAATCAGGACTCAACGGGTGATCGGTTGGAGTTAGGTTTGACTTGAGGTTCTCAAGGTTGGGTCTGAACCTCTCTGAAGAGCACCAGGAAATGTGACTGATCAAAGTGTGGATTGATTAAAAGTGCTGCCTTATTCCCTTAACTTGATTAAATTGGATTGCAACCCTGACTCAGCATACGTCACCCATGGTGGTTTTACACGTTTTGACATATAACAAAAATCATTTGAAGAAACATACATCATTTTTATAAGATTTTCATTATAGTATATATTCATATACCTTATGTATTATGGTGGCCTCTATATTTTTATGCTGATTTTTGATAATCAAAATAAATTTTAATTCTGCTTAATTGTTCACTTATTGAAGTTGAAGGTTGTTTATTTTCAGCTGTCGAGTTGTATTCAGTGGTTAGGTAAACGAATTCCTGAAACACCAGCTGTGAACAGTAAATCATTAGTAGAATTTATAAATGATGTTATATTAGAAGAGTATTTTACACCAGTTTTACAAGATTTACACGTCAGAAAACAGAAGAAATATCTCCATCAGGTAACGTTATATATTCAGTAGATTTGTACTGTTTTCCTCTTGTATTCTGATCGCAGAAAACTGCCTTTGTGCCATGAACAATATTATTAATTTTTGTAAAAGAAAAATTTATGTTATATAGGTTTCAAAGTTCTAATCATAGACTTTCAGTGTTTGATTTTTCTGTTTTCAGTCTCCTGATATATTAATAGATTTATATAACAGTGTGATAGAGTATTTATTAAGAGTTATTCCATCACCATTACTCTCAGATATCTCCTGGCCTGTACCTGAATTTACTCTCTTCTCACATAAACACAGTAAGTTTCTTTTTATTTTCAGTTTTTCAGAAAAAATATAAATTTGTTATAGGGTATATCACTGATCATGTATTGCTACCATTCTGCATGCTACAAAACCTGTGTTTTTCAGTATATTTTTTATGTACCCAATATTGATGATGCATTGGATAAAATGTTGAAATGCCCTTAATTGATTTTGTTTTGTTTTCAGATCAACCTCCTGTATACTGGAACACTGTCACACATCTCCAGTATTTAGACCATATACTATCAGACCTGGAACTACCAGACTTCTATTACCAGGACAGTCAGACTGATTCCTGGGAGTATGTATGCCAAGATGTCTGGTCATATGTAACTATGGTTACAGGAAGTGAACAAGGTGCTTCAAAAATAGAATTGATATCCAGGTAAGACTAGAATTAATAGTCTTTTGGTAATGTCAAATAAAATAATTCTTTAAAGTTGAAATTATCAAAACAGCATCACAGAAGGAAAGAATGGAATACCAGTAGTGTGGTCTACATTTTTTGGAAAATGTTTCTTTATCGACTGAATATATTGTACCTTTCATTACTTGACAGCCCTTGTTTTCTTTATAAAGATGAGCTCATTTGTAAAAAAGGATGATATTGGTTCCATGTTATCTGTTACAATATTTTATCTTAGATAGTGAATATGAAATTGTCTACTTTAGAGTAAAACAGTTATTGAAACATGTACGAGAAGATTTTGAAGAGAAATGTTATTTATTGGAAGGAGAAGATAACTGTGAACCAACCTACATCAACATGCCATGGACAGACCTAATACAAGCTTGTATTGATTATAAACTAAAAACATTGAATTATATTGACCCTAATACAGCTCAACAGGTCAGTTGTTTAACTTTCAAATTGAAGAAAATCACAGATTGTCATTTGCTTGCTTACATTTGGAATAGGATGGTCATAAGTTGTGATTGCAAGCCTAATAATACAAAAACACCTTTTCCATATATCATCATTATTTTGAAATATGTTTTGGTAAATCAGAGGTGATCAAAAGACCAGCTTGTAACCAGATTTCATGTGTTTTGATATCTATGAACATTTATAAATTTATTTGAGAAAGAATTTTTATTCTTGTCACAGGAGAGTTCTAAAGAACTACGAGTTTACTACACAGACAAAACATATACAGAGTTCTTTCCCCCTGATAAATGGAAGTCAGCTCTTTTAGATACTGACAGTGATGGTAAGCTATTCATTTATACCTTGTCTTAACTTACATGTAAACTATTTCCTTAGCAAAAATTAATTTGTGAAAAACCCAACCCAAAATGAAATGTAAATCCATAGTCAGCAGCAAGCAAAAAGCATACCCAGGCTGGCACCACATCTGCAATTGTGTCCTCATCACATACTTACATTTACACATGCTGGTTATATCTTGAGTTACAACAATGAATCTGAATTATAAGCAATATGAAAATTGACTTGAAAATCAGGAAATCTCTTATATAATCAACTTTGTTTGTTTTTACAGAGTATGTCACAGTGACCAACACATTCTACAGAGCTGTAGAGAAATCCAGATCAGAGAAATATGACGAAACAGAGAACCAGGTGTCAGAAATTCAAATAATTAAACCATTATCAGTGACCAAGGATTTGATTTTCTCAAATTCCATTTTAGACAAGATTCGAATGGAACAAAAGGATTCCAGTGACTTTGAAAAATATTTAGAATCTGTTGCTAATGACGATTTATCAACTGTGACCCCAGACTTGAACCAATCAATGGACTATGATTCAAATGTAGAATTGAACGAAAGTGTAATGGACCGAAATATTCGAGAATATTATGACGATATTCTTCATAATGGAACAATTTCTGAGCGACTCTCAACTCTTCAAGAGAAAATGGAGTCTGATAAACTTGCTGCCCAGTTGTTTGAACAAAAGTTGGAATATTTATTGAATTCATAGTTTGATTTTACGAGATTCCATGAAAAAGATGTGAATATATTGAACAATCGAATCAAAATTATGTCCTTCCGTTATTGTTTTGTCATAAAATTATATCTCAAGATAGCTTTCATCTTGAATTTCTGATATTTTCTGATGAGGATTCTCAAGAAAATTACCTAAAAGGTTGAATTAATAAATAACAAAATGTCCATCTCAATTTGCAAGACACCAACAAGTGCTAAATTAGACATATTCTGAAAATTGTTCATTAGATTAAACAAGTATATCTAGATTTGTGGATTTTCTTTGCTTACATCAAAGTGATGAGGATATTCCTTTTCAAGCCTATTCAAATTTCAACTTAATAACTTTAACAGATCGAAATATCAGTTATACTAAAGTAATGCTGGCACGATATATCGATGAACCACAATTTGCCAAGATATGCGTATCGTATTGTGACTTCATGTATCGATTCTTGACGATATCCTTCAATCAATAAAAAGTTTGTTTATGATAGAACAATTTTTTTCACTGAAACTCTTTAACAACTGTGGACGCTAACCACTTCTATCAACTATATTACCAAATATCAATTATGAAGTAATGAATTAATATACATAGGAATTTTTAAGATGTTACCCTGTATCGCGACGTGTATCATATCGTGGCATGATTGACGATACCCCGCACTGTCCTAAAGGGATTGAGATGATTACAGATGTCTTTGGATACTTTTTACGAGTATCTGAACTTGTTATGGCTTCCATTTGCATCATACTAATCCCTGTGGTTCCTGTTATTATAGGAATTTTTAACCGTATATGATGGTGCTTGCTAATGGATACTATCAGTTTTTTCCAATACTCTACCATATAAAATATGAAAAACTCTGTACAATCTCATATATCCTATACAAATACCTCCAGAATACATCTTCTGTGTGAAATTTGGATTCTGAAATCTGTCAAAAAGTTGAAATGACAATAAGCATTGATCAGGCCTTTTTTGAGAAATGATACAAGTTAACATAACATTTAAGAAATTTATTTATAAAAGGCATAAATGCCATTCTCTAACAAAATCATTCCATTTAAGCTCCATACAGCCATGAAACAGTATAATAACAATAGAAACATATTCTTATAAACATTGGAAATTATTTAACAGATTGGAAAGTAAACTTTCTTTCACTATCCATAGATCCACTTTTATGGTTACTTTAACCTGACAAACTATTATGTCCAAATATATAAGCTTATCCTCAGTGAATATATAACAGAAAATTTTAACATCACTCAATGAAAAAGCTCTTCAAAGCACTCATTATATGTGGTATTTCTGATTTTGAATTAATATGTACACTAAGTAGCATTCCACTGATTCAGCCATGCTGTGATTTTTTCAATATTTTCCTCCATTTCCTCTGGAGTGTTGCTTGGCAACTCCTCTACAATGTTTGTTTTATAAGATTCTAATGCCTCATCCAAAATAGTTCGAAATATCTCACATTGAACATTGTCTTCAAGTTTTTTACTATGGTAGCCACGTTTTTCCAATCGATTATATAAAAGTGCTGTATCAGTTCGTAAGACCACAACTAAATGAAACCATCGTTCTGGAAAAAATTCACACCCATGATAATCTACTATATTCCCTCCGTCCACCATAGTGTCCTCTAGTTCATCAATGACTCTATCTTCATCCATAATTGGACACTGATATTCTGCATCAAACCCATCATAAAGATCATTCTCTTTAGCCACCTCTCCAATATTAATATATTTCAAATTTGTTCTCTGGGCCACTTCTTGTGCTAGAGTTGTTTTACCTGTGCCAGGTGTGCCTGAAAAGAAAAGATTCGAAATGACCTTTAACTGTGACAATTACAAATTTAAACATAAAAATCAATCGTAGAATTTTGAGAAAAATAACATTCTTTTCCATCACAGGCCATCAATATAATAAATCAAGTTTGTTTTTCCCCCCAAGATGAGTGCAATTGCGCACTGGAAGTTCCAAACTGACTTATACATATAATGACAATCCTCCACATTGGCACACAAGTTTCAGGGCAAAAAATAAGCTCCCAGTTTTGACTGAGGTGAAAATAGGCCCTCTTTCTTCTGTTACCTCTGAATATATCAAAATTTCATCCCTTAATAATAATCAATATTAAGCCTACCAATATCAGTCTCTATACAAATATATCCTAGTATTAAATGTGATCATTACATTGTGCATAAACTACATTATCAATGTACATATTGTAAAATTAATTATGGCATTTATTGTACATGTCATGACATTTGCTCTGTTTTGAAAAAATTTCTACCATGAAAACACCGTTTCATAACAATTTTATTTGGAAGCTGGTTAATATTGATAAGAATGATCACAGAAATGTTATTTCATAAATCACATTTGTAATACGGGCTTGCTTAATCAGGAAATTTACCTGTTATCAAAATATTTGGCCCACGTGGTAAACTTCCTGCCATTTTGATTTCAACCGGATGTTTACAAAATATGTTGTAAGGATGTTTCGTAACAGTTTTTGTTGCCGACAATCCTCGGTCGTTTGGTACGCAGATCTTTACTCACCACTTGAATTTCTCGAATCCGAAAACCAGTAAACTTACTTGCTTTTGGCTTGTATACCATAAACAAATATTATAGTCCAGTCCTTTCCTCAGATGCTAAAATTTTAATTATTGCATAGATTTGGGCATCGCCACCAGTCTTTTTGATCTCTTGTGATTTAGCACTTTATTGTTTACGAAATGATCATCTCATGTTTACTCTCTGGCCACATCAAGTTCTAAATCACATTTTGGCTAGAGAAAAAGTTCAAACCTGTTTCTTGTTGCCTTGTGCATGACAGCAAAATTTCCCTCATTGCACTTCAACGTCTTCATTAGCCCATAAGGTGCAGAAAAGTAGGACGTAAAACTCCATTCATTATATTTCATTTACAAGCAGTTACTACAATATTAGAACAGGCTATCATTTTATTTCAATTCACTCATAACAATTCAATTTATAGTACAGAACAGCTTATAGTTATCACAAATAAATTCATATTGAGAACATGCAACTTAAAGTCATAGTATGTTTCCATTAATAATGACTATTATTCCATTTTGTCCTGTCTATACCAATTCAGATAAAACAATTAAGTTCAATTTCATATATATATAGCTTTTCAAAAAATATGTACCAGTTCAATCCCAATTCAGACAATTCTTGCGCAGTTACATGACATCATAATATTGAATATAACTGCATGTAAGAAAGTTAGAAATACCCCAGGTATGATGATATCTACTCATTACAGTATAATTTATAATTCATTATGGTTGTGTATTTTATGACATTAAATAATATTTTTGTTCTTTTGAAGAGAATTAAATGACAAAATGGATTTTGACACCCTTGTATGTGGGAGAACTTACTGATGGAACTAGATCTTAATGAGATCATAAAAAATACTACCAGACCAATTCATGCAATTCAAACAATTCATTACATTCAAAAAAAAAAATCTTTGAAAATTGTGTATCATAATAGAATGAATGACAATAATTTAGATAGGCTTTTGTGATTCAAACTATGAATTTTTTTTACACATTACTTCTTTGAACTGATCTAGATTATTTAAAACTAAGTCTGATTATATTCAATGTTAAATACAAATTTTTTAAAAAAATTCTCAAAACTTACAAGCTTATCAATATGATATACATCTTAATGTAAATTAGGCAACCAAAAATATGTCAGTATTTCAAATGACTGACCTAGGTTAAGGGTAATACATTTGAATGAATAATGATGGCACAATAATCCTATGATATTGATGCAGATAGCCAATATACACTGAAATGCCCTTCATATGAATTTGGTATATTAAAATAATGTTCAAATATGATACATTATTACTGTCAGATTATTCCATTTATTCCATTCATTCATTAATTTGGTACAGAAAATATTTTCAACAAAAAAACTAAAATTCTCACCTAACAGCTAATAAATACAACTAAATATTGTTCATATAAAATTGGTCCCATTATATATACTGTATAAAAATATTATTTACAAATAAAATTCACATTCATTCAATTAAAATATCAGCTTTGTATTGATATCAATTTTGAGAAGTTTGTATTCACAAAGGGCAATATTCAGTCAAAATAAGGAAATTTTTTTAAGGAGGGAAGTGTCTTGATATTTTATGTAAATCTATTGGTCATACTAAGACTATTGGCACTATTTTGAAGCTGATAAATGAATTCATTTAAAAATGGTCAGTAAATTTTGAATTACCGATAAGAGTACAAAGACAATAGATTCTATTTTATATAAATTGACTAAAAAGACTCAATACTTGGTGTTTATTACATGATATTAATATTTAAGTTATTTCATTTAAGTTTATTTCAATAAACCCAGTCTGACACTTCTCACAATGTAATTGAGTTTATGACTTAAGACAGGACATAAAAAAACAAATGATAATTTATGTTAGACTTGCTATATATCACAAACTCAAGCTGGCCCAAGTTTCACATTAAAAAAGGTTTACTATAAAAGTCTATTATTCTTGTTTAAACAGTTAATTATCAAAATTACACTATAAATCAGGGCTGTTTACTTATTTTTTTGTCAGTCGGACATTTTTCAACAACCTGTGAGGATATTGACCCTCTGTCATTTGAGCAGCCCCGTCGATCATGTCCGGCATATAGAGCCAAATCAACAGCCCTGCTATAAATTTTCAAAGTAAATTTTGTGATAAGGGGCCTCAACTACATCATTCTAATTAAATTAGATTACAATTAATTTCTGTCTCCATTGTAATCTAACAAGTTTTCTCCCCCAATCCGTTTTCTAATGACATTTCTTTACACAACTCACAGTGTGTCATGTTGGACCTGTTTCTTGATAACAAGGACAAATTGTGGAATAGTAAGTAGAGCATTATGAAAGCCTCTTTGGGTTTCAATAAGCCAAATTCTGCATTGTACCTGACTGCATTAGAAAACTTGTCAGATTACAAAGGAGACAAATTCAGAAAAAACAGAAACAATCTTGTAATCTAATCCTAGAAAGATTGAAACTACATAAAACTAAATATCACTTATATACAGCTTAAAAATACAAATAATTGATGCTGTGGATGAATACTTTTTGCTATTTATTGCAAATTATACCTTGCACATATATATCACATTGCTTAGTTTTTATGATTAATATAATCATTGCAAATTGATCAATTGGGCAAAAAAACATTGTAATTTTCTGGCCTTTTGCTGATATAAAATATTATAAGCTATTCCAAATACCTTCACGCATGCATTACAGACTTAATTCCAATATGCAAATTTCCCCTCGAATTCAGTATTGAATAATATATTTTTACAATCAGCATATGTAGTAGCTATCAAACATATTGGTCCAACTTGCTTTGATAGTAGACTGGTACTGTGGATAAAGTATACAACTGGGTACAAAGTATTACTTCTAAAGAAAAAATCTTACAAGATTAAATGCTCTTTAATCATATTATGATGCCAAACATTCAACGAACATTTACTCATTCCATTAAGTTTTCACAGTTCACAAAGCATTATTTTTTTCAAACTCACAAAGATGACTCCTCCACTAGTAGATCTTGATTTCCATTAGATTTGATAAAATATGTTTCCTAAAAACTCTCAGAGTAGCATGGCCTGTTTCTACGTAGAACTTCTGCCTGAATCAAAAGTCTGTATGCCTAATTCTAGAATTCGTAATTGCATGATATCATTGCCATATTTGGAAAATTTCTCTTCACCCAGCACACCCTTTAATTTCGTCTACAAAATAAAAAGTAGGTATGAAATTTGGTGGCTTCTGTTAGAAACATAATAACTTTTGGCACAAATAATGTAATGTAATGTTTTAATGTAAAGTCCTTGAAATTCAAGGGAAAATATAAAGTTATTTACCAAAATTTTATTTCCAGAATTGTGTAAAAATGAAAGGTGTATCTCCAAAGCGAGGCCTTGGAACAATTCATAAAGTGCCCATTTACCTTTCACAGGCCTGAGGTGAGTGGCTCACCGCTAAATACACCACTGCTACAGATGGTAAAAACTGTGCACTATACATGTTAATATACAGTATATTCAGTCATCAGGACACAGAGTGTCAAACCATTACCCAATGATTTTCTACTTAAATTTTCAAATAAAAAGATTGATATTTACCTGTAACTCTACAGGATTGTGTATTTCATCCATTGTTTTATAAGTTCTTAATAAAGTAGATTCTCCTATACCAACTGCACATTGCCTGTAATTAACAAATCAATAATCATTAAATTAACAAAACTTATATTAACAAAGTTAAAATTAACAAATCTTATATTAACAAAATTTATATTAAAATTTTCGATATTAACAACTTTAAAATTAACATATTTGATACTAAGAAAGCTGATATTTTATGTATTTGAAGTCGCCTAATGTTAAGAATATCCAGTTTATACTTACTTCTGTAAATCTTGCATTTGTTTTAATAATTCACTTTTATCTTTCTCTGAAAATTAAAGACATTATTCAATCCAAGTTAATTCAAAATGAAATCGTATTGCAATGCTTTGTAGGGAAAAACTGAAAACTATAACAAAAATATAGTATATTATAGATAAAATCCACAATATTTCCAATAATTAGACTCCTGTAACAGGATAATTATTGATTCATGACAATACCAGTGCGGTAAGCTATGATATAATAGACCTTCTCTCAAGGGGAATTGAGATTAAATTTCACAGGTCGTTGAAAACTTTCCAACTGACAAAAAAATAAACATCCCTGCTCCTTTGCAACGTAGATTAACAGAACTTATAATCAAAACAACTTACTCTTTTCAGGCTGTGGAGGATTCCATTCCATATGGGAACTTCTTCTTCGTACTGGACTGGGAAGCTAATAGTAGAGATTAGATATAAAAAATAACATACGCTTGACTGTGAAGATCATCAGAGGATCTTGGTGTTGTCTTCAGTAAAGAAGAAAGAAAGAAGACAGAGATAAAGAATGAACAATGCAAGGATTATAGTGTTATATATGGAAGTTAGAGAGTTGCTTTCAAACTAATACTTCAACCAACCAAGTGTTTACATTTTAGTTTCCCCAAATTATTGTTAATTAATGTGAACAACCAAAAAATACCAAATAATTTATTAGTATCTGGACCATCAGGTTATAGAGCAAGCATTGAGGCACTGCTGCATTCAAGAGGCCAGTGATGCTGACGTTTCCAAATACTCCATTTTACATTAAGCAAATACACTTTTTAAGTCCTTTACCTTAAATTCATAGTATATGATGTTTTATTTATATTCACACTCAGTGTTTAAATCAAGGGTTAATACATTCAGAAAGTGTGTGATGTGGATATTAAGGCAAGGATAATATAATGTTAGTTAAGCTATAAGATGTACCTGTGGAGAGTATTGTGGTATATCACTAACCCAGTTTAAATATGGTATAACACGTTCTCCCTGGAATACATATACTTCATTCCTCTACAGCAGCACAAAATAGAAATTAGATCAAATTCATAGAGTTATCTACAAATTTACAATTCATTTCTATCTAATTTCAACTTTCATTTAATACTATATCACATTTTATTGCAGATAAAACAAAGAATTTGAAATAGATTTTCCAAATAAAAATATAATCGAAATAGATCTTCTAAATAAAAATATAATCAATTAAATTTTCTAAATGAAAACATTTTTGAAATAGATTTTCCAAATGATCCAAATTTTTTGTTAATTTTCAAAATTGATAAGATTAATAAATTTACTCCATTTCCCATAAAAAAATATTGTGAACTGATGCTAAATATATAATACAAAGCAAACTAATAAGCAGATGTATAGAAAGCAGCTACTGTAGAGCAGATAAACTAATCAAGAAACAGAAATAAAAGTTATACATGTATTTGGACAAAACAAAAGGGGACAAGGCTATCATTCTAGTCTTTATCACAGTCTAATATCTGACAAAATCTTATGCTAATAACCATAGATAGATCTCAATTTCAGCTATCTGTTCATTGTTGCACTTCTAAAGAGACAGGTATGTCATTATGGGGGTTTGATTTGAGTCTTGTAAATAGTCTCCAGAAGTACTAGAAATTGTAAAATCATCACTTCACATATTGAGACATTGACAGCTTTATGAGATCTAACAATTTTCAAGTGAATTTTAGTAGCCTGCTATATACAGCTGACATAAAACATCCTTCCATGGAAAATACTCCAATGTTTCAAAATCACTAATCTTGTGAACAAAAATAAACTAAATAGGTCCCTATACTAGGCTACTATACCAAAACAAAATAAAAATAACAAAAAAACAAATATAAAATTCTTACTGGTTTCAAGTCATTGCCTACATCCAGTGATTTGGATTCTTCTACAGTTTGAACAGGAACTTGGACTGTGGTCACATCAAACATTGGACTAAACTTTAACTGATCTTCTGTTAATTCACGGAACATAAAACGTGGAGAAATTTTTAATGTCTCAAATTTAAGATTCTTTATTATTGACATTGGCTGAAAAATATATTAATGATACAATTCTATTATACTGGTTTATATTTTCTAGTCCTACATGATGATATTTGGCACTTGTGTTTGATTCCAAACTTTTCTCGGCATTCTTGAAATCAGGAAAGACTATTGGTCATTATAATGAGTACAGGGCTTTAAGTCAAATATATTCATCAAAAATATCAGTCTCTTAGCGCTAGAGGGTAGAAATTTGATTGGTTAAAGGAGACGTCATCGAGTTAGTTCAAAAGGTCAATTTGAGGAATATTCAACAGTGCTGTCATTAGACTCTAACTGAAGTGGCTATATAAAAAATAAAACAGAACGAAATATTGTGGCCTAGCCCAGAGCTAAAAACAAAAGTTACAGGATATGCCTATATTTTATGGTTCAAATTGAAGAAAGGAACATACCCTCTTATTTAAATGTTGTTGTATAATGTCCATCTGTAATATCTGTTCAGCACTGGGACGTAATGTTTTATCTTTCTCTAACATTATTCTACAGAGCTCACGTAGATCTTCACTATAAAAATCTTGTATTGTTGGTGGCTGAAATCATAGCAACATAATTGTAAATGCTCAATTTGGTTATGATTTATTATTTTAAATAATGACATGAGTCTTTATGGTAAATTGTTCTGTGACTTTTTTATAATAGCAATTCAATGTAACACAGAAGGAAATACAATGAGAGAAACACCAACTCAAAGAATGCAATGTTGGTGTTTAACTTGAGTTATGCGTCAATAAACAGCACAGATGTTATGTAACATCATATGTGAAAGGAAATGATGATTGATAATTGTTTTTCTGGAATGTATTTTTATGTATGAGTATGAGATGATGAGAAAGACGATTAACAATTTTGTTTACATACACAAAAAGTTTCAGTATACTTACGTCATTATTAATGACTTTTAACAATAAAAAATTAAGATATGGAGCATCATAAGCTCTCTCTCTAGCTGCCATCTCATATACAATACATCCTAAACTCCAAATATCAGTCTATAATATACAAATAATAAAATATACATGTCATCTCATATACAATACATCCTAAACTCCAAATATCAGTCTGTAAAATACAAATAATAAAATATACATGTCATCTCATATACAATACATCCTAAACTCCAAATATCAGTCTGTAATATACAAATAGCAAATATGAACTCTAAATACATCGGTTATATTTTCTACTGTATATTGGCATGTACAATGAGCAGATTTTTACCTAACAGGGCCAAACAAACTGGCGGTGGGCATTAAAATCATTGACATATTGTTTTTGGATATCATGCTACAGGTTCTGAAGTCATTAGTGATGGTCTGCCATCTTATTATTGATAGCTGATGATGGAAGGTGCCAATATGGATGACAATTTTTACATTTTGATTCCCTTCTGGCACATGTGCAACAGACACATTGAAGCCAAGAAATAACCTGTAAGTATCTGTAGTGGTACAAATTGTGCAGAGGACTCTATAACTTCACCCAGACTTAAACTCTGTTAAATCACAGAACAACAGTAATGACCTTACCTTTTCATTATAACCTGTATAGGTAAAAACTTCTGGACTCATGTAATATGGTGTTCCTACCCATTTCTTTACAACTTCATCGGAATGGTCTAAAATACTATAATTATAAAATAAAACCTTAGAAAAATATACTTCTAGAAGAATAAATAGAAAATCAGATGCAAAATACATCTTCAATATTTCCTACAAATTGTGTTAATAAAATGAAACACAGATTTCTGACAATTAAACTTCTTCTTTAGCATTAGCTTTGGCAGACCAATCCCGGTACTGATCAACCCTGGTAACTCCAGTAAAATCCATACCCCTGTAACCTGGGGTCCATGAACAGTATAAATAGAACCCCGCAAGGTGAGTCTAATCAGTCAAGAGTTCAGACACGAACGAAAACTAGTCACTGATAATCAGAGATAACTAGTCGCACAGCCAATCTTTATCTCTTAAATCATTACAACTGAACTGAGTACATATTTTCTACAGTGACAGCTGATTTTTTTTAGTTTTACTTGAGGGTAAGAAAGGGACTGCACTATATTCACAATCATAGGGTATACAAAGTCAGTGTGAAAACTCTATCATGATTAGGCATTTCATTCAGTACCATATTACTGTATGATTGTATGAATATATGAACTGTTAAACTATCCATCTGTATGATTATCAATTAGATTATATAACATTATGGTACTTTAAATATGACTATCAAAATCTATCAATACATTTAATCAACTTAACATAAAAGTGGTATAGAATAAGTGTCATTAATTACAAATATCACAAGTTGTGTAAGTCAATATATGAATCTAAGGTGTGCACCATAACTTTCAATTAATGATATTCAATATCATGTCTTGAGATCATTAAAACTGGGTTGTTGTCTGAGTGATCATAACAATATTTTTATATCTTATCTAAACATGTGTAAAATGGACTTCTTATCTTTGACAGCTTCTCAGTGCATAAATCTTAAACTAATGTTTTAATCACTTCTTTTAATGTGCAAGTATGCAGTCATATATTTAATGCATTTTGCAATATCTATATAATCTATAGAGTTTCATCTGAATGTTACGATGAAAACAGTTTGAAAATCAAATTATTTTTTTAAAATGTACTTCCATTGATTCCACATGGTCATAGATGGGACAATAAACCAAGGCCCCAGTCCAAAAGAATGTGCAAGTGAAAGATTTCTTAAATCAAAACCACTCTTCTTGCAAATTTGGCTAATTGAAAACATATACTGTATATTCAATCAGGAACTGACATCTAACATTAATATATTAAACAGAGGGATCCTAACTTTAATATAACTTACAAGTGATATTTAGATAACATTTTAAAATACATTAACATTTTCTAGTAATTACACATTAACCTATTAGTGATAGTCAATACAACTTTAACATGACACCTTAACATGCCTTATCTATCAGTTTCTAATTCAATCTTAATTCTTATTCACAAGATGCATTTCATTTAACTGTAAAACGCCCAATACAAGTACTAATTTTTTTATAAAACAAATACACATGCTTAGAATAGATAATCTAAGATGACTATTTACTCATTATTCTTCCAAATTGCCATTCACAGCACATACATTCCCTGCCACAAGGAATGTCATTTGCAGCACATAGATGTCATTAGCAGCATATAAGATTCCCTGCCAGGAAGGTCCCTGTTATATGGAATGTCATTTGCAGCACATAGATTCCCTGTTATATGGAATGTCATTTGCAGCACATAGATTCCCTGTTATATGGAATGTCATGTGCAGCACATAGATTCCCAGTTATTTTGAATGGAGTGGATCACACAGATTCTCTGTTATATGGAATGTCATTTACAGCATATATATATATATAATGGAATGTCATTTACAGCACAGGGATTCCCTATTTGATTTAAATGAATGTTATGTTCTTGTAGGAGTTTGTATTACTCAAAAAGAATCATGGAAACGTAACTCAATTCCATGCTTGTTAAAAAGTATATACCTTAGTAATTATTTTACATAATCAACACAAGTTTTATATTAAACTGACACATTTTGACAATTCAAATTTCAAGTATTACCAGAAGGAAATTGATCTACATTAAGAACATGACAACTAATGTTTTAAGATAAGTTTTAAGACTCCACCCTTCTCATTATCCGGTGTAGTATTGCTATCCAAAATTCTATAACTAATGCATTCCAACCACATAATCTAATAAAACATGATAAATGATCAAGCGCTGGAATTATCAAGCAGTTTAAATACCATTAAATGTGATTAAATATAAACTAATCTCTAATTGGCAGCAGCTCATTTTAAGCTTTCTCCTCTTGTTTTGGTATAAAATCCTCATCAGGACAGTTGATTGTGAAAACTGAGATGACATTTTGAAGGAAAGACTCTGCAAAGTAGGGAAACTCACTAACTGGAGCAAGAGGTCAACAAGTTGAATATCTAACAGTACTAAGACTTCTGACTTGATAACTGGCAACAGACTTTTTGAATATTACATACATACAGTATATCAACTATCAGTATATTGACAAAATATGAAAATATAGGGTCTTCATCTTGCTTATCAAACTAGGGATTATTAAAGTTAGTAATCAAATGACAGTAATGTTTGGTAGATGATGGGCTTGTGTTGTGTCTACTGTGAAATAAAGCGTACTTACGTTGAAAGTCCAAGATCACCAAGTTTGACATCTCCTTTACGAGTAAGGTAAATATTAGAAGGTTTTAAATCTCGATGGATTATCTTCATATAATCTTTATGCATCCACTGAAAAATATAATACAGGGTATTGTTTTAAGTTCTGGGACAAAGGAAGATTTTATAAAGAAATTCGCAGTGGAACCTGTAGAAAATAATGAGCAGAAGTTGGATTAAAATCAGATCTGACCTTGTATAGATTATTGTGAAATTGTGTCAATACTTGTAATCCTTGATATAAATAGTATATTATTATAAAGCCCAAACTTTCATACACAAACATTTATACAACAGGTGAAGCAGAAGATATGAAATTAGAAATTTATTCAAATGATGTTTTACACAGGGAGTTCTTTATCAATATAAAATCTGAGTAATCTAGGTCAATGTTAAAGCAGTAAAAAGTTATAAAAGAAAAACATGTTGGGTCAATATTTAATACATATCTTACAACTCTTTCTCTATTGAATTCAACATGTATATTTCAATTGAATTACAATCAAATTTCAATATTTATTTAAGAATAAGTTTTGTTTTTCACCATTGCTGAATGTTTATTCTTTAGAATTACATAATATGGATATTATTAAGCTTTGTGCATTCTTAAGCTAGGGGGTGCATTCTAAAGCTAGAAGCACATTATTTTGGCGATTGCTCAAAACATTTGCCTGTATGCCCCTTAATGATGGAGATGTACACATCGCCTGCATAAAAATGTAAGATATTTTTATTTGGTATAAATATCATTCTTGCAGCTGCAATAAATCTTGACTCAAATTCTAGAGCCTAAGGGAAAATAAAAATTTTAGGGAATAAATCAGTGAATATAATATGATCTGTCTTGAAACCTTGAACTAAGAAAAACACATAGATATCTAAAGTCAATATACCTATCTATAAAACTTTCACTTTAGCTTCAAAATTAACAGTTGATAATCTCTGTTTAAATATACAACACAGTAATGTGTTACCCTCGCTATTGACCATTCTACAGCCAAAAACATTTTGGCCATGTCTTGGATTCTTTTGCTGTGCATGATGTACATGTGTCATAAATGAAGCCAAGTTTTAAAATATGTGCAGTAAATGCTGTTAAATGCACAGATTCTTGTTAAGTTTTTACCAGCGAGATTATTTTTTGCATAGGTTGCAAATCATCTTTCAGGATACAACCCAAAAAATTTGTCAAATTTTTTCTAGTTGCCTTTGCAGAGACAATCAAATTATGATGACCAGAAGAACAAAACTTGATCAAATGTACAGGGTTCAATCCACTTATTTCTATGTATAAAACTTTTCCCCCCACATTTAAGAAAATCTGATTCAAATAATGCAACATGTATTTGCTTTCATTGCTATTTATTTAAACTATGTCACACTGCAACTTTCTATTGACTTAACAAACCAAGGCCCTGTAAGCATGTAAATGCTCTCACTACTTGCATTTGAAAATCAATAAAAGGGAGACAAATGAAATTGAGTCTTGAAAAAAATGTATCTGCTTTCACACAGCACTATTAACATATGACCAAAAATGATGAAGAAATAACAACTCAATTCATTTCAAACAATGACACCTTTTTTCATCAATTTAAAATCCACAGCATGATTTTCGTTGATATTCAATCAATTCTAACACGTAACTCATAGATCTAAATCTGTCAACTTCACAAAATTTGTCTAATACCTTGACATAACGTTTACAGTTGTTCCTGTCAAGGTCTCTGAATAGATGTATTCGCTAGCATAAAATCAAATCGCTTTATTTGAAAACTTGTGTGATAAAAGAAAATGGCCAAATGATGTCAAGCTATTACATGGCATCAGCAATACCTTGACATCATGAAGATATACCCAAAATCCTTATCAATCTCTAGGTCTTCCTAAGTAATAATTTTGATCAGTATGTGTCAGATTTCTATGTGTAAATTTAAATAAATACTTGCTTAAATGCTTCTTCATATTAAGATTTTTAGGAGAAAAAACTGACAGTTTCTTTATACTTAATTTGAAATTTGACTGAGTATTTTTTTGAAGTTTATTTGACACCCTGGCCTATCATTTTATTTCAACAACAATGTTTAAATATTTCTTTATTTATCTATATAGTAAGTGTTTGTAATATTTACTTTCAATTTAATTGTATATCAAATAAGGTCACCAATATAGTTCATAAGAAGGTAAATTTAGTCAGAGTGTCAGAAAAGACCTCCTCTAAGATTTCTATATTCTGTCATTGAAATTCAATCTTAACATCAAAGTATGTACACTTTTTTATTGAAATATTTCTAACCGAGTTTTAATGAACCCTCCTTTATACCACAGATTATTTGGGAGACACAAAAAATAATCGAATAAGGGTATTAAGTATAAAGATATTATTAGGGAAACCTGCTTTTAGTGTTCAGGCAATATACCTAACAACACACTCTTGGAATGGAATGAAATTAATGCACTATTTTGCCTTATTTTCTCCAATTGATTGGGCTAATGAAGAAGGTCAATGCCATGCAGTGTCCAATGAGAGAAACTTTGCCAGCATTAGCCTACTCTTTTTTGATTTGCAATTGTTGATCTTTGCTGTACACAGCCTGTTGCACACGGGGCCTCAGTTTATTGCCACATCTGCACAACTGGACAATTATTTCATATCAGCCCCTCCTGACGACATTCTTGGCAGGGGGGATAATACATATGCATAAGGGGTTTGAGACATATTCAGACTCTTATCTGTTTTGTATCTGCTCCTCTCTGAAATCAGGTTAATAGAAAATTCTGATTTTTTAACTTGGGTAAAAGTACAATGTTTTTTGTATGGTTACCTTGAAAAATACATTAATTTTATACCTCGTGACAACATGCATGAATAATTTTCACTTAAAACACCTTAACTACAATAATTCAATGTGCATAACACCTAATTTTCTGCTGAGGTAATTCTTACTTCACTTTAATAAATTACCGAAAAGTGATAAGTTAAATGTTATTTACATCTTTGATCAGGTGCAATATGGGAAATTATATCATGTTTCTTTCTCTTATTAAACTGTTATGAGATCAGTGGGATGTATTTAGACAACTGAAAGCTTAAGGTTGCCATGTTGCAATTTTTCATCATGAGTGATGAGATGCTTTGGATCAAATGTCTTTCGGATAATTTAGTCTAAATGCTCCTAGTAACTTCAAAACAAGTACAACAAATCCTTATCAAGGATTGGTGAGTTCTGCATGTTTGGGATTTATGGATCAGCAGAACGTTCAATAAAACAAATTGGAATAGAGTTCAGAAAAAAAAGGTGCAGACAGAATTCAAAATGTCGAAGAAGAAAATAGATTGTAAAATTTTGAATGTGACCTATCCACTTCAAATACCTTTTGATTTAGGGCAGAATTGGACAGATGGAACCTGTTCAGAACTCTTCAATCGAGCGCCACTGTAGACTACAAAATCAAACCCTAGACCTACTGCCTAACTAAGAATTGAAGAAAAATATCCATCAGAGGTTTTTTATTTTAAAAATAGAAACTAATAATATACGTGATGTTCTATTTCTGTTGCTAATAAATTATTAATCAATTTTCTACAAGGCATGTCTACCTGGCTGACTCATAGTCACACCTGTACTATTTCTATATATTATAACTATAGTTATTACATATTTCACCATTATTTTATAATTAACAACTAGCTACATGCTTTCTGAAGTACATTATATATTAATAATTAACTAGAGAAAATATCAGAACATGGTGAGATAGGTGTAATGCAGAACACTTCCAAGATATTAATGTTAACTTCTTCCCCATGACTGTTGAATATGTAAACAGAATTTTCCTTGGGATCTGGTCGACTTGTGACAGACAGAAACTGAGATTTTCAGACTAGCGTCTTGTCAATCTTTATAATAAGTAGACGTTAGAGTACCACTAAAAACAGCGGTTTGCCATCTGAATCTGTGGCCATCCAATAGATGACAGTTGCGAGTTGTCATTTTTTAGCATTTTGCTGATATCTATGACGACAGATCCAATGAGATGCTTCGAATAGCTAATCAACCTGATGTCACCATTAGACTTTCATAGTAGTACATAAACAACTATATAGTTGTTGTATGGAAAAATTATTAACTTATTAGATTTGAACCTCTAGAATAGGAAACAAATACTGTCACTGTTCCATCTAATTAATGAAGAGTTTATAACAATCATCATTAAAACAGTGAAGTTGACCAGTGACCAGCAGGTAACCCTTAATTGTCTTTTGTGAAGCTTATCCATAAGTAAGACATCATAGAATGACCCTATCTTTCTTTTAATTAGCAAGATAACATTCAAGTACCCACATTTTATACAGTCATTATCTGTATTGTAATCTATCATTAACAATGTAAGCTATTCTAGTTTAATCTACAAGAAAATAATCTACATGCTTATTACAGTGCCCCCACTCAAAAAATCTAAAATTTGATTGTCAGGTATTTGGGGTATATTTATGGTTCAGTTGAAGTGATTATAATAATAAAGATGTCTGCAGATAATATATATATATATATATCATTCATTAGATCTTTTATCAATATTACTAATCAATACAATCTATCAAGATTACTGAATTAAACAAAGGATTTATTGATCATTCAGACTGTAACTACATTTTTTATTTCTTACAAGATAAATACTGTTTAACCTTTCAATATATAGTCTTCATTTGACCACTTATTTCTATAATTCTTACTTGGATGGTATTAACGTCTATTGATTGTGTGTGTGTCTGTTAAGAAAAGAGATACTTGCTACCAGAGCGAGACCCAGACCTAGGGCCAGACCCACACTGAATGCAGAGTACAGAATGTATGAACATTGATTTTTTGACCTGATGCTACAAAGCTTATTGAGCCCTATTTATTGTACTCTTGAAATGTTTAAAAGTTTGTATGGTTCATAACTGCTTATTCAGTTCTAATTGAGTTGATCACTTGGTCCATTGTCTGAATATCACATCAACTAGCTCTTAATAAAATCCATCATTAGTAGGTGCAACATTCCAACATTTTGCAATGGCATTTTTC